TATGCATATTTGTCCATAATTAACTTTTCCCTGACTCTCCTGTACAAGAGTGACTGCTTTGTATAGAGAACATTAACACATTTTGCTGTGTCATACTTGCTAAGCAGCTATTTTCCTTTTACACACCCCTGGCGTTACGCTTTTGATTTATGGAATGTGATGCACAAATCGCCAGATGGATCAATTCATGATTGGCCAATATTTCAATAATAGGTTTCTATAGGTAGGTACAATATAAGCGGATTAAAAATTCTTTGCAACAGTTTAAACAACTCAACCTGCCCGGCTAAGCGTTAAATTAGGAACACAAATATTGTTAATATGTTTTAATAAATTTCGTTTTGGCATTAAGTAAGTTTACAAGCCTTAGTTTCTTTTGTCTTTAGAAGATTGATTTAGAAGACGTACTTATTCCTAAAATTACCAATGATGGCGAAGATGCTGATACAATTAAGATCGAGTATTTGCCTATAGCATAAAACACGACTATTACTCGCCCAGAGTTACTGCATATTATAAATAATTTACAGAGTAATTGATACGGAGTAATTGATATCGTATTAATAGAATATTAAAATATATATATCGATCGCAAATTAAAATTATGTTTTTATTTACGTAATGAAGTCTTGATGGTACAAATATTCTGCCAAATTCAACATCTGTAACGGTTAAAACAATTTGTCGCCTACTCCCAATCGTTCAGTAGCTATAATAAAAAAAGGAAGAGTACGCCGCCGCGCCGCTTGAAGTTTTGAGAGAACCAAATATTCAACACAATTCCCATTGCACTAGAAACCTTTCTTGACAGGAAAAGGGCGAGAGAAGACTTCATCGACTGTCCCAACTTTCTTTCATTATTTTGTTGTCGTAAAATTTACCTATTACGTCAACTTATTTATTTAAAATTGTGAATTCAAGAGTGCAACTGAGTTAAATTTAATGGCACAGATGAACACCTCCAGCGTCTAGATATTACATGCTGGAAATCAATAACCCTTTTTATAATAATCTCACACATTTTACACACGGCCGTCTGATACCCAACTAGGCAGGGCCTGTGCTATGGTAATCAGACTGCTGATGAGCATACCTATATGTTTCTGAATACATACATATTATGGATAAATTACCCGGATACAGAATAAATGATCGTGCTCATCACACAATTATTTTTTGCTCTGGGTGGGAATCGAACCCACGACCTCTGGCTTAGCAGTCAGTGGCATTAACCACTAGATAGACAGGCCCGTTAAATGAACGTCAAATGAACCATGATTTAAAAAATCTACCTAATCTAAGAGAAGTCTTTTTTTTTCAAGTAATCTCTATAGCACGTTTAGTAGGTAATTGACACATCAATTCGCACTCTTTCCCTAAATACAGCCTTCAAGATTGACTGCAATATTGTAAAATTCATATGCTTGGAGAAAAAAATGCTAATTATATGTTTACGAAACATAGAAAAGCCATTCTTGTGAAAGATATTATTTCTTGAAGTGAGTATTATATAATAATGTTATATTATTTTTTTATTCCCTTCTAAAATAGGTTATAATGTGCAGTCAAAATTGGATATTCTCTCCAACTGTTAAACAATAAAATGAGACGAGTGTGCAATAAAGCCCTTCTCGAATGATTGGAACCAAACGACAAAATTATTCAGTATGAAAGTCGTTAAAAAACTCATTAAAGGGACTGGAATTCACGCTTTTTAATTCCGGCGACGGTGGTCTTTTTTAGACCGTTGGCTTTGTTATACAGCACTGAAATCTAAAATGAAAGTGGTAAGTGTTCTTGAGTTAAAAAGATAACGTAATAATTATTTTTGTTGGATAAGCCTTCATATTCCGAAGCTTAAAGAAAAGTCTCAATATTTGGCTGCAACATCTAAAATGTGGATTTTTGTTCTATATTCTGCGGATAAGCAAAATACCGCTGTCGCGAACGTTTTATACGCTCCATATACTCCCCGTAAAGCGTCGGCAGTATTGAAAGCGGATCGATTGCCATTGGATTTTATTACGATCAAGAGTTTATTTGGAAAGTTTTACTTTACTATTTAGCATGAAACAAATTTTAAATGCTTGTTAGGATCCTCTGTAGGCGTCGGACGGACTCGGGCACTTAATACAAAAACCGCAAAGTACACCACTCCTAATGTTGATTTTAAAATACATAACATAGCGTAGGTAAGTGGGGTAACCAGACATTGGTTATAAACACCATTAATAACTTACCATCTGGTCATATCCCAGGACACAACTTTGGTTGTATTAAAAAAAATAACCAGTAATAGAAGCTTACAGTAACAAAAAAAAGAGAATGTATTCTGTCGAATGTCAAACTATAAGTAAGTGGCAACATTTTCTCTATCGCGGTTAGCTACAGGCTATTACAACATCTGAAGCTCGCTAATCAACTTATCACTGATTTTTTTTCTATGTATTGAAATAAAATAGTGAGTATTGTATAAGTTTGAAGGGAGGCACCGGTGCGTTTGGCATTGTTTTTCTTACAGGGCTGTAAACTTAACCCTACTTAATTAACTATTTCAACCATTTTCCTTTTAAAGGTTCATAGATTCATATTAATCGCAAGAATCGAGTGTGAAACTATAGCTTTAAATAAAGAAAACTGTATTGAAAACTTTTTACGCTCAACTTGTTCCAGGAACACCGTATCTTGACAGACATTAGTCATTATAGTACGCAAACCACACGACATGTGGTCGCTGTTATCTGACCCGGGGTGCTCGAGAGAAAGCCCTGTTGAACCCGTCTGACGGGTACCGTTGACACACATTTGAAGTACCAAGTCCCGATTCATTTCTTTGTGCTTTACTGCTATGTAACGTGTTTGACCTGCAAGATCCCTTATTAGTACACTGGAGGTGTAAAAAATCTTGAAGATAACCGTGCTAAAATGAATAATTCAGATTTTGACATAAACCTTTATTGAGTAAGGGATCTCTGTACCAATCTCTGTGGAATTGCCTTATACATATTAAAATTTTATACGGGTGTCTAGCCTAACGTTAAACATACTATGGTAAAGTTGTCAAATTTGAAATCAGAATTAATGTCACTTAACAACCGCGTATCGAAGGGCTGTGATAAATTTAATGAACGGATTTGTCTCAAATTTCAGTTAAGAGGTTTTATTTAACAATTTTAAAGAAAAAAACAATAGTAAGGAATTTACTTAATAGAATTGATTTTCCAGTTCACCTTCATTGCGTTATGATTACCACTAATGCTGTGTTTCGTAGATGCTGATAATATTGTATTTATTATTTATCAGGTGTTTACAACCGTCCTGATCTAGGTATATGATTGAAAAAGTATATTATATGATCCCGTTGGCTATCTGAAATTTTTTAACAATAAAGGAGTATTTAAATTGATTCCATGTTCAGGCATGTCATTTTATACCCTTGCATTCCGTTTTTATTATTTAATTGGTTTTATTAGTATGACTGTTTGTAATACACATGTATGTATTATATTCTAAAGTCTACTATTACTTTGTAATCTTATTAAAATGACAATAAGAAGTTATTACTGACGAATTGAAATTTAACTTTATATTCAACCAAACCTAGCATCTGAAACACAGAGGGTGTTTCAGATGCTAGGTCCGGTCTTACAACTTCCTATTAAGAATTTATACATGATACTTATTGTTCTGTATAATTCGAAACAAAATTAAGATAAATAGAACATCGTTAATATGATCGAAGCCAACATCGAATTTAAATGCACCGCAGGTAACTCTTTGTAAGAGTTATTACAGTATAAGAAGTATTATAGTATAAATCAATCCCAAGTAATATAAATTATCTAATATAAAAATATCTTTATTATATAACTAAGTATAGCTTGTTCAATAAATGGTTCATAATATTGATTAGCAACGTCTTCTGTTGTAGTTTTATAAAGGAAAATTGTAGGTAGTAAACTGCCATTAGGTACCTATGTGCCTAACATTAATATGCAAATGTTTTTTTGATCCTACTTCTATAGCATGAAGAAACGTAAAGAACACAAGCTAATGCCAAAATAATATTTTAAAAGGTAAAATAGTTCCTGAGATTTAAAGTGATTCATACTGCATAACAATAGTTAAGAAAAGTCGACTGATGCAATAGTACCCACACAACAAAAAGTTCTAAGAGCTATAAAATCATGTCCTCAAATTCCATATTCCACAGACATAAGTATCTAGGTAGAGTAGGAGACCTACTCTAGACGTGTGAGTCGACTAGTCTAGTCGAAAGACAAACCGTCTCATGTTTCACAACACAGCTTGGATATAAAGGTGTGTGCTGTGCAGTCTGTGCACCCTCGCAAATTGTGATGCAAATGTGTTCAACAAACCGATTGTTGTGGAACACGCAGCATGAGATATGTTGGCAAATATTAGGATTTCTCTTTATTTTTTAGAAACTAGATACTAGGAATACTAGAAAACTACGAATTACCAATATTAAAGGCTGTACCTATACCTACTTAATCATACTATTTGAAAATAGTTATTCTAACAGGAAAACCAGGTTATCCCTAGTTTAAAGTAAGGAGACAGGTAGAGTAAGTAGCATTGACTAAGGTAAATAACACAAGACAAGGTAAATTGTGTTTTCAGCTTTAAATTATAAAGCCAAACGGCAATAAAACTTCGTCGCGTGCACGTAAAGCAACGGAAGAGCATGCTATCTTATGAGATGTTTCTGCTTTGTAGATGTTATGTCGAGGCGGAAGTGACCCTCTTGTTTATCAGTGTATCCCTATCCTTATGAGTAGCACAAAGTTCGTTGGAGTTACTGGAAAAGCGTGGACAGGTAAATCTTAGATTTTTGTTGATTTAGTATGGCACATAACAACGTTTGGCCAAAACTGTAATCCTGACCGAAAGCGATCGAGTACGACTTTGCGGGACTGGAACAGAGAAATTTAAAAAAAGATACTCATAGTAAGGAATTTATGTGGTCTAGTTCTTAGTCAATAGATAGACTGGCACAGATCTTTTTCCGGTCCAATCATAACCCTAAAATAATGCGATTGTTTTGACACATTTATTAGAAACGTAAATTTCTATTAGAATTATTTCTAATTCTTTAATATTTCTTATTGGATTAATGTACTTTTCACTTAGGTTCTTGAAAAATCTAATTGAAATATTTAGGGTCATAACTAAGTACATACTTATTTGTAATAATGCCTCAGGTCTTAAAGCTTTTTTTGCTCTTAGACATTTGACTGTGACCACTGTTCCTACGGCAGCAAAGCATCGTGAATGTCCACCAACAGAGGAAGGTATATTAAGTAATATATTTGATAGTAATACAAACTAACCATGGTAATTCCTTGTTCTCTTCGAGACCGGACGGCGTCGCGAGAGTATCGGCATCGCCCTCCGTCCGCCCTCCCGGATGTTCAGGGATCACTCGTTCAATTGTCGTAACCTCTTCGATGTCCGAGTCGATACCTTGCGCGAAGTCCATATAAAACGACTCCCGAGAATCGCTAGAACCCCGTCGCAATTTAAGCGACAGGTCTGGAGAACTGTCATCCATTTTTGTACACTTATTTCTTCATTTCGCACTAAAAAGTGTTGTTAATTTAGAACCTTGTTTTCATTTCCTTATGCGTCATTTTTCGCTGTCAACCCATTTCAGCCTTATAATACTATTAAGTATATTTTAGTCGTGAGCATTTTGTCATTAGCACCTAATTTCAAATAGCTTTTTTTAGGCGGCAATTGAAAAAAAACAATCACTAATGTTTTTGGAGCACAAAAAGCACTCGCACACAACAATAGCAATTTATCTTGGTCGCGCTACAAAAAAGACCGATTCAACGTAAAAAGAACAATGACCTGTGAACCGTTCCTATGTGTAACCTTCCCTAAAATCGACACCGCTTCCTGTGCCACTAATAACTGACTACCCAACACACACTAATACACGCACACACACGCGGTCATGTTTACGGACACGTAATTTTTTGTGTGTGTCAAGCTACTCCTCTGTAACCAGTTCCGTATTCGCATTCGCATCCTTTACAGCTACTTTTACGACCGCCAAATGTTAGAACATTTTAAGTGGCATGCATGTAATAAATATGTACCTACGGTAATATATTCTGACCCTCACTATACTACCCATATAGGCCCACAGATCGCTATGAGACTGAATACCGTTCAACAACTCGGTTAATAAATATTGTTATCAATACATCGAATATCGACCCCTATACACAGCAATCGATCTCAGATGTGATCGGACACTTCTATTCAAAAACTCTGTAACCGTTTTTTTTGAAGAAAATTGTATCAAACCTCGGACTGAATCGTTACTAGTTCGTTTAGTTGCCAATGATAACGATAAGGCACGTGTAATATGAATATTAATAGCACATCCGTGTGCGATATCAATCGCCTACCATCCCTCTGGAGCAACAACAATGCCCAAGAACAAACATATTCATTTACAAAGGCTTGCCGATCGGGCGATCCGTATGCTGTACACGCATCGCACGACGGAGGCGTATTGACACGGAATAATTCAACGGGCAGTCACTCACACCGATACACGATAATATTGTAGTGGGGTAAGCACGTGATAGAGGAACGCGACGGGCGACAGCGGCGCCCTCCCGCGGCAAAGGTTGGCGCGCGATTGCCGCCGCGAGTCGAACGCAGCGGTGTCGCACGCGGGAAGGGCGGGGGATGCACCCTCGGACTACCGGGATACATGCCGGGATCAATCTGAAGCGCTCCTATCTACCCAATATTCGGCAAACGGTGTATTGAATTGAATGAACTACACTATTGGATTTAGGATTATCAATGTTCGAAGGAGTGAAAATGAAACAATAATTTTAAACTAAGTATATAAGTTTATAAAGTACTTTCTATACATATCAAACAGTGATTATACTTACACAATTCAATTACACACTCAATATCACAATACTTTTAGTCTTTATTAAAATAATGGTTTGGTGAATTTATTGTTGTAATAAGGATAATTTATGCATGCATGAAGTTTATCGCATGCTATGTAATGTCTACATTTATTACAATAAAATACCATACAACATGCATAAACTCACGCCCATTTCTCCCTAGGCAGGCAGACAGATGAAAACAATATAATTTGTGGTATAATGCCCCCCTTGAAGAAATTAACTTATGTTATTTTATCACCTACAATTAAATATTCAAGTTGTTTATATTGCCTAAAACTTTCCTATTTATTTAATACATATTTAAAAAAAATTGCCAAGTAACAACGTAACAAAAATTTAATATTTAGAACAATTTAAAAATAAAATATTAACGCATTATAATGAAATAAAAATGTTTAACTTGTTTTGAATAGATACAATTGCTTAACAGGAAATGTTTAAGAAGTATTAACAGTAACAAAAAGATAAAACACAGGCACAATCGTTAATGCCATCAGTCAATCACATGCAGAATAAGTTTTAGTACTATACAATGCATGGCTATTTTGTAACACTTGCCATACAAAAATTTACACTAATTTATTATTGAATATGAAGACTTGCATAAGAAACTAGAAAAAAAGCAACTGGTTAATCAACAAAAAGGTCATCTGCTATCTGCGAATACTTCTAACGACACCGTGGCCATTTAGAGCCAAAATGAGGTCATTTAGAGGTATATTCGGATATTTGAGAGACCTCAAATAGGCCTAAACTAGGCACTGGGGATAACCCTTTAATTGTAAACATTATATCCCTTATATAAGTGTCCGTAGACTATGGTGATTCCCACTAACGGTAGGATATATGACCGTTGGGTAAGTTAAAAGTTGTGTAAGCCATATAAAGCGTGAATTATTACAGATCATGGAATAACTATCATAACCTGTTTAATATTCTAGCGGAGCTCCAACACATATGTTTGTTTAATCCAAGTTCCTTCCTTAACGTTTGGTAAAGTAGATCACTTTTAAACCGTATTTAATCTGCATCATTTTATTTTATTTCGTTTCGTAGTATTTGTTTTTTATTTAAATAAATGATAACATTTGCAAACAAGAAAACTAAATATCAGTTCCATACCGGGTCCGGGATGGGCTCGCATGGTTTGTAGAAATCACGCATTAATTCAATCCATATAATATGTGTATTAAATATATGGGTATATGTTTAATATTTTTTATTAATTCAGTAAGACATATTATTCAGGACTTCAAAAGTTTACAGCTGTGTGAAAAGAATAGCAATCTTGTCAAATCGCTTGAATTTCATTCTGGTTCTTCTTGAAAAACCTCTAGCTTTAGTCACATCGAAATAGGTACATCGGAATCAAACCGTACCCGGAAACACATAATCAAGATTAACAAAACAAAATAAAAGCACTGAGAAATTATTTTTGAATTTGAATTTGGCGATTATTTTTGAGTCTAACAATCTGAAATCGATTAATTGAAAAATAATATTTCTGGTTAATATTTCATTTTTGTGGTCCGACAATGTTCGCAGTATCCATTAACAGTACGGCACAAATTACGAATAAACATATATTGATTGTACATATCATTATAGATGACAAATAATCTTATATATAAGACAGTATCTAAAACACTAGAGGGTCGGCAACGCGCATTATCGACCCTTGGAATTGCAAGCATCCATAGGCTACGGTGGGCTACGGTAACCGCTTACTATTAGGAGACCGTATGCTCGTATGCCACCGACGTGGTATAAAAATACTATTTCAAATAAAAATCCGTAATAGAATTATATTGTGATTATTGAAAATACTAAATAATATGGTTTTATTTTAAATTAAATTGAGAATTCTTTAAATTGAACTTGCTATAGTAAGCTTAATTGAGTAGCATAATTAATATTAAAACAACACAATTAAAAAACCAACCGTTCATACTTTGAAATGGAATGGAACATTTAATTAATTGTCATTTGAAAAATTACATTTTAGATTTAGACAAATGTTTTTTTATTGTTATATATTTTGTTAATTAAAATGTTTTACATGCCACTAAATGGAGTATTATCTGATACAATAAGTATATCAAGACTACTTCGCTACAGTCTGAATGAACTAAAATGGTATTTTATACATTATTAAGTTTTCACTGACACTGTAACGGAAGGCGCTGATATGAAAAACTATATACATAAAATTGTGAGTAGTTATTATATGCATAAATAAAACAAAAATATTTTATTGCACTGGAACCAATTCGAATACAAAATCGATTTTCTTACTACGACCAATGAAATAGCATCTCATACATTACCGTTACCATATTTTGCAACAGTTTAAAAATATGACCCTTGTCAGTGGACGGCAATATACTGATGATGATGATAGCATAGATCTATAATTTTTTGTCAAATATAATCCCATTAGAGAAGAATACCTTCATTGTGTAATGAATAGACCATTAACCAAGCAATGGTTGGTTATCCGGAACTAGGTATTCTTTACAAAAGAGAAAGGAAAAAATAGGCGTTTTACGCGAAATATACAGTACGTATATTATTAGTAAATTTAATATGCGTACTATATATTTTAGTATCTAAAGTCAGTTTTCTATATCAAACTATTATTAGTAACTATTTTTTTTTAAAGTAATTATGTGCCAAATAATTATTGTTTTCGAACAATTGCCCAGAAATAATTACCTTATTGAGAGAGTATGTACCTTTTGAGAGAACTAAATACGTTTTTGAATTGATTTGCAAGCATATTATATAGCTGACACTTACATAGGCATTACCTTGTATGAAGATGTATATAGTTGTGTAAAACCTTAGAAGATCTTAACAAAGAAAAATATCACCTGTTTAATTGCCTCTCTTTGCATATATAATATTAACAGTCCTGTATACTATAGAATGTGTCTCGACAAAACGGAAGGACAAGTAAACAATGACAAATAATTTTCCATAATTATTTAAACAGGTGTTCAATTTACATAAATTGCCTTCTATACATGTGGTAAGAAACGAGACTAATAATCATAATACAGCGATAGGATCATTATTAGCACAATATTATTATTATTATTAACTCATATTAAATGCATACATATTATGAATGAATTAATTGATCATAAGACTCGAAATTGTATCTAGATCGATGGCCGTATGCCGATCGAGGTAGTGCGGATTAAATAGGGATGGGAGATATGGCGCAGGTTGTGACAGACCATATTTAACGATTTTCAAGAGGGGGCTTTGAGAAGCATTTAAGCAATTTCTATTTAGAGATTTTATACTCATTTTCGCTATTTTGTTTTGTTATTAAATGTGGCAGTGTGTACAGTTTACACGGTATAGTCTAGCTAGAAGATCAAAGGTGGAATTTATACTCCAGCAATCGTCACTAGGAGGGCTGTCGGCAAATGGTCAGTAGATCAAATTGTTATTTTGTTTATCTATATAGTAGGTACACTCCTTGTTTCTCAGAACACACACGTATAAAATACTCAATTTGACCTTGACATTTCTTGATATATTTATTGTGTATCGTGAATTTATATTTATTTTAGGGGTAAATGACAAGTAAAACTATAAAAATTAAATATTATTTCCCTGTTAATACTCTTACGATAAATACATATTTTTCATGCAATACTGTGTGATAATTATTATATATCAGCTTTAGCCGGTGCCATTGATAGCGTAAAAGTATTTCTTCCATCTTTCGGGCAGCCCCGGATCTAGGGGCGGACGGGGGGGGAGCAAACCGGGGCACTCGCCGCGGGCGGCAAGTTCTGGGTTGCCAAAATCATAATATAGTATGATTAAAAATAAAACACACACGAAAGCCTGGTTTGCTCACCGTCGACTTGTAAAAAAAGACGCCACACAGGCCCACACTACAAGTGAACTAATATATTTGTGAGTTTTTTTAACTATCAAGTTTTTGCTAAGGTTCGAAGAAGTCGTAGATCCGGGCGTGCTCTAGGGACAATCCTTTTTAATCTGGATGAGAAGGATTGAATTCTTTTTCTGTAATGCAACAGATCTATTCACCGATTTAAAAATAGAAACATGATAAACAGTACGGCACAAATGACGAACAAACATATATTGATTTTACATATTATTTTAGATGACAAATAATCTTATAATTATTAACTTTGTAAGTATACGGGTATTTTAATAGATAGGTATGAAAATGGACCGTCGTAAGCCTGATCAACAAAATACATTATAATCAACAACATCATGTTTTCGATCAAAATAAGTCTACAGTGAAACTATATTTAGCAGTGAACTGTATTTATGCGCACTTAAATTTCAAACAATTACATTTCAATAGGGAACTCGGCTCTGTGTCACCTTAGAGTGCTCTCACAAAAACAAGTGTGTTTTTAAAATATTAATATCAGTTATACCTAATAACGATATTTTTTGAAAATTAATTATATTATGTATTTTTTTTTGTGTAAACTAACGTAGAAAAATTAAGTAAAAAAGTTTTCAAACCAATGGTATCATAACACTTCAATTATTTTGTATTACACTTAGTGCAAAAGTAAAAAAAACAGATAGTAAAAAACAATACGTGTTGCAGTTCTATGTTCCATTTTAGAAGCATTTATTTCACTTCGAAATATTTTTGGGGTTCTGCATTGTTTTTCCAACTTTTAAATAGCAACGGTAGCAATTTTATTTCGATTACTATAATATTTCGTATTTAGACCAGATCTAATCACTTAGTTGACGAATTATTTCAGATGAATTAGTATCTCTTCTCTAATCTCTTCGTACGAGTTTCATGATTTTTAGAATATGAATTTGACACCTACATATGTCTATGTGTATATAAATATGTTTGTGTTTGTATATAATTAAATCTGATATGAATCTGCCAAGTTCTGAAATAGTCTGAATACGTAAGTGGTACACTAGACTATGAAGTTAATAAACCGATGTCGATATATTAGAGAAGGTATTGCAAAATAGTCCATTCGCGATAAGAAAATAGTGGCGCATCGAAATAATGTTTCTAAGTTATCGAATCGGACGCAATGTCAGCAGAAGCCCTCTAATAAATGAAAACACTACAGATTAAGTGACACTGTAATTATAATATATGTATTGAAAAGCAAAATGTACTAAAATATAGCTCGGTCATAAAAGAGTCTTTTTTGATCGTTAAAAAACAATTTATGACTACCAACAGTTTATGGAGTTTATAAGACAATCGACTCGTGATTTTTGTCGTGCATGCTACAATAAAGAAAATCGACTCGTGATTTTTGTCGTGTACCCTACAGTAGAAGTAATTATTCCTAACGATGATATTTATTAGTTTTAATAATATGTATGTTGTATATACATGTTTATCCAACGCATTTCCCCCAACTAAGTCCGCCGCAAGCCATCGCTCCGATGAGGTAGACTGCTATACCAGCAACGGCTATCATGATAACGTACATTTTAACATTCTTCCAAAACAAGGACCTCTGCAGTGTTCTTGATGTGGTGCGGTAGCTGACAGACTGAAAATATATATGAAATGTTATTTATAAATGCATGACATAAGTAAAATTTGTATGCTCAAATGTAGGTAGGCAGAATCGTGGGTATATGTGGGTATATCGTGGGTAATGTGGGTATACCACTTTACTCACTACACTTATCAAAGACGTAATTACGGTGTTAGATTAATATGGTTCAGATCGAATGAACGAATCTAATGTCGGATAAGCCCTCATCGTTGAACTGTTCGCTGAGAACAGCATTTGCACGGATTCGGTTCTACTAATTATAGTTCACCGAAGAACTGTTCGCCTAAAACACCCTTCCTCAATCCCTTCTTAACACTTCATTTTCAAGGTAAAACATTAATGAGTGTACCTACATACCATGTGACACAAATAATAAGTATAGTTCATTAATAAACAATTTACATTAAATCTGCCTTACAATGAAATACAATATTAGGCACTGAAAGTTTACATAATAAGTAAACAAAATATGTCTACGGCCACAGCCGTACCTTTGTAGGAACAATTCTATAATAATGACTGCTTATTCTGATGTTATTTAAATTTTTGCAATGTTCTGCACATTTTAATTCCAGTTTTTTAATTAGGTGCCATAGTAAAAGCGATCACCGCTGAAAGATGTCATAGTCGAACCTGCAACGATTGTTTAATTCAAGAGACCATTGAGGAAGGGTTTTGCTGGCGGACAGTTAATCGGTGAACTATAATTTGTAGACCCGCCTTCGAGCGAAGGGTATTTGTAGCGAACAGTTTATCGGTGACGGTAATTCGACTTTCGATTCTGAGATTTTCTGTGGTATGCAGATTAAATAAAAATGCTTTTACAGGAACTGTGGGCAAAATGTAAACATGCGCATATAAAGAACAAAACAATGTTCGCGAAGATTCTTATTTTATTACGCAGTATAAACAACTTATGCAATATAACGCATGTGGATATTGAATACTTACACTTGTAGCTAAATTATCAGCCTTATCCACTAGTAACTCTAGTTTTTCGCCACGCATTGCCATGTTATCTGAAAATAAATTTATAGAAATAAAATTAAAGTTTTTCAAACTAAGTCAAAATTAATAAAAATATATTTAACTTTGTTGTTGTTAAATTTTCTTGACATTTGTTATGTGGTACAGTGACTACAACAGGAAAATTGTATTTGTCTTAAATTAAACGTAAATAACAACTAAAGAGACTTAGGTATATAACTATATTTAAAGGATTCCTAGCAGTCCATTGCTAACACCTTTGCATAAACATGAGAGACAAAGTGCATGTTTATGTAAGCATTAATACTTTTTTCCACATCTTCCTACCCTATCTGATTAGCTTCTGAGTTTCTAAGAATTCCTGTCTAATATTAGCTTCGATATAGTTATTTCAAAGGATCACTAGTCACGAGGTTTTTTAGGATGTATCACTAACCATGAGGTACACTTCATGGTTAGTGAACCGCTAAAGGAGAGAGAGATGAATTACTACTGCAGCGGTACCCGTAGCGGTAAATATTTAAATGAAAAAAATAAAACCTGCAAAAGCAATAAAATAACCCTAGGATAAGGATAAGGATCTAATATTTGCAACTCATACATAAATATAAACAATGAATAGCAGAAGAAAGTGCATAATAATAGACATTAGCTATATTAACTACGTATCATCACGACTGCATAGTATCATATCAGTGCTTATACTCTGACGTTCATTGAGTTATGACTAAAATAATTGAAACTGTTCTATTAACACAATATACAATCTCTAGCATAATACAACAGTATAGCACTTCACCAAGCAAGGAAAGACATAACATTTTCATATATATAAAATATCTTATAAATATCTATCTTAAAAAAAATATTCAAATATGACTTGCCTGAATTGAAAAATGTTTGCTTTTCGCTCGTCCTTTAAAATAAGAGACGTTACTATTAATTTAAAGGAAGTGCAAATATCGAATCCTAAAGTATTCGTAAAAATGAATAAAGGGCCGAGAATAGTTCCCTGTGACAAACTCATTGTAATAGATGCTAGAGACGACTTCATGCTATTGATGTCAATATATTGTATCGGATTGGTAATTCTCTTGCTATTTCTATGCCTGTCAAGCGATAGATCAAGCACTGTCAGTTATGCCTAAATTTGCCTAAGTGTTGGATAACGCTTTTGAGGGATCGCAGAATATATTAACTTCTCTAGGCACTAAACATCGGTTTGTAACCCCTTAATTGACAGTAGATTGATATTATTTAAAAATATCATCCATTTATAATTTAATTTCAATGATCTTCGATAGAAACTATATTATTATACAAACGTATTAGGGGCCTCTTTTCAGATCGCACTCATAATAGAACACGTTCAAGAATAAACCAATACAAATATTTCGCCACATAAATTATGTTCTCATTAAAAGTTTGCATAGAACTCGTCACATCTAATACTACTTTTTAATAGAATTTTGTTGGTGATACCTTTCTAATCTTAATATATTGTTAAATATTCCTGCAAATCTAATAATCCTCCTAGATTTGTCTGCGTTAACAAGCACATCGTTACGTGTAAGGTCTGTTATAATCGTAGGATGTTAGTTATTAACAATGCAGTATTGGTGGTCGAGGTTCCTAGCTTATATACTAAACTTTGATCAGACTAAATAACAATGTCGTGCGTTTCCCTTTAAAGGTCAGATATAATAATATAAACTTCTGTAACTTTCATAAACACTTGCATAAGGTTTATTTTTGTATGGTTACAATTTGAGACTTCAATGAATACAGAATGCAGAAGTGAAAGTTTCTTCCTTCGGTCCATGATTAAATTTACTAAGGCTGTATTCTGCAACTCCACTTATTGTGCGTATTATGCGTTATGGTTCATAATATTTTATGTATATGAAAATGTTATGTCTTTCCTTGCTTGGTGAAGTGCTATACTGTTGTATTATGCTAGAGATTGTATATTGTGTTAATAGAACAGTTTCAATTATTTTAGTCATAACTCAATGAATGTCAGAGTATAAGCACTGATAGTGCAGTCATGATGATACGTAGTTAATATAGCTAATGTATATTATTATGCACTTTCTTCTGCTATTCATTGTTTATATTTATGTATGAGTTGCAAATATTAGATCCTTATCCTAGGGTTATTTTATTGCTTTTGCAAGTTTTTAAAAAACATTTTTCGGGCTAGCCCTTACCTGCAGGTAATCCTGAGTGACTATTCTTTCTTTTTAATTCTTTAGTCATTTATTGCTGCGTCATTTACCTCCTACAGAATTTAATTCACTATTGGTAAAACATATGGATATATTATTGGATATGAGATAATGACAAGAATTTAAATACATAGTTATTTTGAAAGATTATTATGATGCGTGTTATGATGCAGAAGTAAAAACAGTGAAGAATCACCTTCCTAGAGAAGTCAGAGGTCTTTAAGTTTCAATAATATTTATATTACAGTGCAATAATACTTAATAAGCTTATATTTCAATTAAGAATTCAGTGCAACACAATATTCATAAATATAATTATACATATATGTATTAAAGTCAATGGCATGTAAACATGAAGCGACTAATTACAGTAATTAAGTGTTCCATACAAGATATAGCTATCTGTTCTTTATTTAAAATAAATAGGTACAGACACGGTACTACTCAACAGTACATACTCACTCATAGACAGTCAATGACACATCAGTGGGTAGATTTTATTGCACTTGTGATAACAAGTGATAAGCTTGTGTTTGTTTTTATGAAACACTTTTACTATCACAATCGGGAAATAAAATTGATTATTTCTACAATTTCTACACTATTGTTTCATATCTAGTTGGTAGTTTAGTCTAAATACTAACTTTGGCTATAATAAAAACAACCTCACTTTTTAGAAATATACAAGTAAATGTTCTAAGTTTCAAACTTTCGCATTTTGCGATATATAATTATGTACTCATACGCCAGCACTGGCCATGACGACATGCCTGATCAGCCTAGTCAAAACATTCAGCAATTTTAATAATAGTAACTCCACATATCTCACCGCAGTCTGAACCCAAACTAGGCAGTCTGTGCTATGGTAACCAGACTGCTGATAAACATACTTATATATTTGTAAATACATACATAATATAGTCATTTGTTCTGTAGATAAATCACACCCAGACACAGAACAAATGACTGTGCTCATCACACAATATTTGTCCTCAGGGGGAATCAAACCCACAACCTCCGGCTTAGCAGTCAGGGCCACTAACTGCTGGACCAACAGGCCCGTCTGATTCAAAGGTATCAAACAAGTTTTAAAGGTCTCATGCTCTGCCGGTTTAATTCACTGAACTATACTGTAACTATTAAGTCAAAATGGTTTAGTGTTTAATCACTTGAGATATTCATAAAAAAATACATTTGGCCTTGCGTTTTAGTTGAAAGGTGTATTTTGTAAGTTTACCTAATTAATTTAAAACTATTTATATGAATAGGCACTTCTATATACTACTAAAACATAATTATTTATACTTTATATATTCCATCTTAATAAGGTTGTCTGTTTTTTGTCTATCTATCTATTGCAAAGATACTTTTTTTAACAATATCTTTACCTCATCAAATGAATACTCAAATACAATTATAAGATGATGCCAAAAAGCATTGTTATATCAAAATGATTCACCTAAAAATTACAGTATCAAAAAAAGACTTAACACTGTCATAACTGAGTGCATAAGAAAAGCAGCTAGCATCTTTTGAAATATTTCAGAGCTGAAAGATTTTCAAGTATTCTGCACCAAAGTGCAGTACTTGAATGTCTGGAATCCATGTTAGGTATTTTTGTGTCTCCGAGGAACCAGAGACACGAAGGGATTTTCCACCCCGTCAACAAATAAATAAAAATGTATTTTTGATAAACAAATGTACCACTTTTGTTATTCAATCATACATTTTTTTTTAATTTCTTTACTTTTATCACATAAGATTAGACAAACAAAATAATAACCATAATATACTACATAGACATAGATTTACCACAAATATAACAATAGGAGGAACAAAAAAATAACATTTACTATTTGCAATATTGTGTTTTTTTTTTTTGGTGTTGCATAATAATATCAAAACTTAAATTAGAATTATAAATAAATGTTTTAGAAAGGCATGACTTAGTTATTTCAAAGGCACCTCTTTGATTAAAGAATTCCAACATCTAACAATAATCAGGGGTGAATTGAGTTTCTAACTAGAATATATTGAAGATGTTAGACTATCACAATTTAAACAAAAAACACACAGTTCATTATTTATTATAACAATAACAATCTTCTGTTTATTAGAATCTTCAAATTTTTTGAATTTAACTCGGCACAAGACATAGATAAAGTACTAGCCTAAATTAAATGTCAATAGTAGTCACTGTTTTTCAGAAGAGAATAAAAAAGAAAAACTACCAATGATATATACATCGTACTATTAAATCATGACGTATTGAGGTTCAACCTTGTAAATTACTCATATAAAAGACACAATACAAGAAAAGAATAATATAGTGATACATACCAATATTTTTCACCATGATATTCTTGAGTTCATCCAACTCCCCATGGACTCTTGATATAGTGTCAAGGTCCTTTGAATCGCTATAGTGTTTCATCTCGGTGGCAAGGATCCTTGCAAATTCTCCATTCATTGCATAAGGTATAGCCGTCTGTGCCGTGTCCCCGAAGGACGTCGTAAATCTTCTTTTAATCTCATTAAGGAATAAGAATGCTCTTGAACGTTGAAATTTCTAAAAAATATGGCCCAAAAAGTAGTGATATATTGAATTTTAGACAAAGCGTTTGAACATGATGTATAATACTCACATCATCGGTAATACAGAAGAAAACCAATTTATTTTCTGAAATGTAGTGAAATAGATAATTGCCGTGTGAGTATGTCAACTTGTCATCGTGGGGAGGTATCTTTGATAGTATTTGTTCCGTAACTTCCGAGAAATTGCCCGCACATGTTGCATATTTGGCTAAAACGATAGTACCGCGAGCAACAACACTAAATAATATTGGCATTTTGAACAATCACGTATAAGACTAAGAATCAAGAAAGAAACAAAGAAAAACACGAACTGAAACTGAACTTCCACTAGGTTTAACTACACTTTTACAACACAATAATCAGCTATAGATACTGCAACAGACTGTCGTTATTAGACTTTATCAGTCACTTGTAAGTACTGAATTAATTAAATAATTTGAGATTAAAAAAATACACGAACAACAACACGTCAAATTCGCAAATCACAATATAATATAAAGGGTTGTGTGAGTGTGTGTGTGTGGCCTGTGACTGGTAGTATAGTGTGGTTGTTATTTTTAATCGATAATCGAAAAAAAATCGATAAAAAAGATTTAATTTTACAATTAATTGGTTTGCACAAAGTTTTGCCAATAATGAAGTATTTCCTTATAATAATAATAAAACAAATAAAAAAATTCAGATTTATCTGTCGAGATGGTTGATATGTATTGTGGAATGTGGATTCGGTGTTCATTAATCCGATAGTAAATCTGCTCATTCATTGATAGCCAAGAAACTCAACCAATACCTCAAGGGGATCACATTAGACGGCTGGATCAAGGGTCTGATGCAGCAAACAGTTTTAGGCCCGTACACGTCCTTTCTAAGGAGAGGCCTATGTCCAGCAGAGGACTATTAAAGGCTGTTGATGATGATGACACGTCGTTAATGTTTCCTATTGTTTGCATAGCGGTATTTCCACGTACGAACTCATATTCGAAAATTGTGCTATATTTCAGTTTATCCATGGAGCTAAATACTATTACAATGTCACAAAAACTAAACACTATCTAAAACAAATGCCTGAATTTTAAAATAAAAGCACATGGCTAATGGCTAATTAAAATAAATTCAAATATATTTTATTCCAAATAAAATATATTTGAATTTTGAATTGCTTGCCAATCCACAGATAATTAAATTTAAAATGCTGGGGTTGGAAATACCAAGTCCATAGGAAAATAAATATTATTTAAGATTTTAGCTATGGGAATCGTCGTAATAAGATAAGTGTCTACGATTTCTCTGATTTTAGCCGAATTTATTTAAATTATTCATTGGGCAAAACGCCTTTTCAAAATTGAGATAGTAAAAATAGCTCCTAATAACTAAAAATTATCACTAATAATTCATAGCAAATTTCTATAAATGTATTGGTCTTTTGTAAAATTCCTTTTAAATCTAGAACTTTAAATATGATTACAAAATAGAATAAAAATAAGGTTATTCAAATTCAACATGGCACAGTGTAGTCCAGTAAGCATGGGACAAAACAAAACAACAGTGAACAGAGAACTGTGACATTTCATTCGATTTCTTCCTACGTAGATTAGGGTTACTACTACACATGACTGCACGGATGGCGTAGTGGTTTAAGTGGTCGCCACGCCGCTTTCTACTACGCCGAGTGTTGTGGGTTCAAACCCCACATGGGACAACATTTTGTGTGATCCACAAATTGTTGTTCTGAGTCTGGGTGTTCTTTGTGTCCGTTTCAAATAAACATGAGACAAAATTACAGTGAACTGAAAACAGCTGAAAACAGGTTTCAGAAGATGCATAAAGACCCTATTTTACCTATTTAATGGTAAATCTACTAATTATTTTATCATATGTAGCTATGTGTATCTAGTTTTTTTTTAAATTATTATGTAGGGAATTGTAGGTATATATAATAAAAAAAATAGTTACTAGAACAGTTAATCATAAAAATTAAGTATTTATTATTACGATATATATATTATATATATCGTATATATATATATATATATATATATTATATATATATAATATATATATATATTAAATAAAATTATTACTAGATTGACTCTTTAATATGCAAAATAAAGTGCATTCATGCAATTCCTGCATCGTCTGAAAACAGCTTATTGGCAACAACGTGTAAGTAAGTAGCAACCTTAACCTATGTAGGAAAGAATCGAATGATAAATCATGGTTCACTGTGATTTTATCCCATGTCTATTAAGTACAGAGTAGTCAGAGTACATTAAAGTGTACATCTCTACATACTGTACAATGTACATCTAACATCACAGAGTACATTGTAACAATTCACGGTAAAATAAGGTTATATTTACTCAAGTCAATGCACGACAACGGTTTTGATGACTGACACTTTATTAAAATGTTTTCTTTTTTTTGAATATTACTTTTCTCCTAATACCTTTTAAAATATATCTTTTCAAAAAAACCTCACATTATTTTGAAGTTATGTAATTCTGACTTAGAATTCTTTTGTATCTACATATATTAAGAGTCTATGACTGAACATTTAGAGGCTTTATCGTCTTTTTTATCTTTTGGTACTGGCACACGTCAAAACAATGTTGTGGTATATTTAATGATGCCGTTGTATCTATCTGTAAATTGCAAAAGAGTGGCAATGAGTTTGTTTGCCCTTTTAGTTTTGTGCCGTCATCATGTGCCAGTTGCGCCATTTAATTTAGTAAAGGACTAATTAGCAACTCTGTTATCCTGTTAGCTTAACAGTTAACTAACTTAGTTAGAAAAATATATTTCTTGAGTAAGGCTTTTCCTTAAAATATAATTATTGCAAATATTTAATTTGCCTACTGGTCACCAGTACCTCTTAACTGGAAGCAAAAGCATTTATTAGCTGACGTCTTCCAAAATGAGAGACGACAAATTTTCCCTGTTGCAACAGTTTTCGTTGTAGCTAGGCTCCTATAGCTTGCTAAATTATAGTAATCTGTGCTCCTATTGCTCGTTGCTTGATGTTATACAGCCTATAGCCTTACTCGATAAATGGGCCTTCCAATACTAAAATAATTTTCAATTCGAACCAGTAGTTCCTGAGATAAGCACATTAAACCAAACAAACCTTTCAGCTTTATATTAGTATAGATTAAGGATTAAAAAATTACAGAAATTTATTCTTGACTTTTTTAATTAATTGTGATGTTAAGTTATACATTATTAATAATAAATACTAACAATAACACAACATTAAATATTTATGTTTTATAACAATCACTGTTTCTTTGTTAATCAAAATAATCATCAATGTCTATTTCAGGATCTAAAATATGATCTTCTAAAGATGTCAAATCTAGTTGATCAAGAATTAAATTCTCACACATTTCTTCTAGATCAGTTTCCCCAATCAATATGGCACCTTGTAGTCTTCCTTTTTGGAGTACAAGCTTAATATACTCCTTGTTTGGTGTCATGCGTAATAAAATTTCATAATCTTTGCCTAAACCCTGTGCATTATATTTTCCTAATAATATAACTTGATATCCAAAAAGAGTAGTGCAATGTGTAAACAATTCAAAGCAGAAGTCTTGTAACACCTCTGCTTTTACTATATTGCTATGCATGGCTTTGGCAGCCATTCCTGCCATTTGTCTAGCTTGAGTCCACAGTCTCAACTGAAACCAGTGTGGTGCATGCTCCCAAGTAGCGGTAGCCACATCACCAGCAGCATAAACATTTTTTATTGATGTCTCTTGGAATTCGTTTACAGCTAATCCACCGTCTTGTCCCTTTCTTGGTTCTTTATCCCACAAGAAATTAACAGCCGGTTCAACACCAGTTGCAGATATTACAAAATCACACTCAATAACTCTACCATTAGAAAGTTTCACTTCAAGAGGATACTCCTTGTTTCTTACTTCCTCAACAGAATTAATTTCTACTTTATAAACAATCTCAAGTTCTTGCCCACCTTTATCACTTCTTTTAAATTCTAGCTTCCTATACCAATCTGGGCCCAAAGCAGCAGACTTTAAATATTTATTTAGGGATACGAGTTCATCTTCCTCTGAGAACACATGCCGCCTTAATGTTGTTTTTTGTTCTATAACATCATTATTTTTTAATGTATTTTGAAAAAACTCAGCTGCTCCAGGGTCTATAAATGTAGCTGATATATAATCATCTCTAATGACCCAAATTTTCTGAATTCCAGATGTGGCATGTACTATCTCTGATGCTATGCCACCATTACCAATAATGACCATTTTTCGTCCGGCCTTCAGTTTTTCTTGAAACACTTTAACCGATTCTGTATCTCTAATTCCAAGTACCCTTTTACTTTTGTGTGAATCTCTAATCAGCCTGGGTATGCCACCAGTGCAAATACAAATAACTTTATATCTTATTATATCACCAGCATGTGTATAAGCTATTTGATTTTCTGTGTCTATGTGTTTAAGAGAATCGTAAACAATCTTCAAATTTGGATGGATTCTCATCAAAGAATTAGCTTCTGTTTCATTCACATCAAACTTGACAATAGTTTTAGCATAAAAACTCACATTACTCACATTTTTAATTAACGAAGAGGCAGTTATTATTACTAAAGTTTCCTCAGGGTGTAATATGGCAAGAGTTTCCACACAAGTCACGCCGGCAATACCTCCACCAACAATCAAATATGTTGCTTCTAATTGAGACATTTTAACTCCTGTAACATATTCTGCATCAAAATATATCTAATTTAATATTTCAAAGATTAACTTAGGTAGAAATTAAATCTAACAAGAATACTTTTATCATTTCATAATGGAATAATCAGAAAGAAGTGTCTTCTTTTTTTAATTCAATGAAGTGTCGCCAACTGTTTAAAAACTTTACCCTGAAGCAATTTAAAACCACTTAATTCAATATAAAAACTCCGTTACTTACTTATGTAGAAAATACTGTCAGATTTGTTAAAAAAAATCGGTTGTCTGTAAAGTCGGTTTACTGACGATAGTTGAACGTGACAACGTCATAAGAAAATACTGATGGAATGGTTGCATTTTTCAAAAGAAAATTTTAATTTTATTTGTTTGATAGATATTTTGTATGGATATAGAGAAGGAGGTAAATGGAAATCAAAATTGAATTGATCGATAGTCATCTCTATTCTATATACAGCGATATTGTATAGCAGCTGTCCACGCGGACGTATCGCTTACTCAAGTAGGAGAGAGACAGATGTCGAAAGCTGCCGAACGCGAAGGCCGATTGTGCCTCTTTGTCGCTCGTTCCGCGCTCTCGCTTGGACTTTAAGCCTTAAATGGAACACCTCAGAGCGAGGGAGGTTTTTTCGTGCGTGCAGCCGGCTCCATCGAATTATAAGAAGTAGTCAAGTCAAAAAAAAAATTTAATTCCTAAAAAAATACCCCAAAAAACTCCCTTTTTTGATTTTTTCCCCCTAGATTTGGGGAGAAAACCCCGGAGCTGGCATCACTGATCCAATGACTCCATAGGATGTGTCAAAATAGCACAACAAACAACCTTCAATCTTGTGCAATCTGTCAAAAGTGTCAATAGTCTTCACCACAGATAACTATATACTATTCAGAAAGTTCACCAGAAGGCTAGTTCAACAGAGCACAGTAATACTATGTCCAATTCTCTTAATAACAGTTAATAAAAGTTTCCAATTCCGATCATAGATAAAACACTATAAAAGTTCCGAGCAAGTCTAGTCTCGCAGCTGGCGTAAAAGGTTTTTTTGTAGTAAAATAGAGTATTGCTTAGACTAGTAGATCCATTCCATTTTCGGTTACAATACGATATAATCACATTGCGATCAACGTTGGATGTTTAATACTTTACGACGAAAATACCTTTTCTAAGAGTTGTGAGATAGAGACTGTGTGATCGAAACTGAATTATGACTGAAAGTTGAGATTGCAGATATATCAGGCATATTTTAGTGATAAAATTAAATAAAGGAAAGTGGCACATTTACTTATTTAGTTACACTCATCACCTACATATTTATAACTTTTATAAAGTTTATATAGATTTGTAGGGATTAAATATTATAAAGATTATGGTACATCATTTTTAATGTCTGTTTAATAAATCAAATTGAAACCTAGTCATGTCTGAGTCATGCAAGTGAATATTCTTATATATAAACTCTCACCTCTACATAAGAACTATATTAAAGTGGCGGCATGTTAAATTTTTTTGTTTTTTTAATTGACACACCAGTACCATAACGGTAACTTATGTTTGTTCCAAGAATGACAATCCGATTCATGTTTTTCCACAGTTACTACTTGGCAAACTTTCAGCTCTATTTTCTTGTAAACGTTAAAAAAACTCACAAAATACTTTACATGTCCGACATTTCGTACCAGGTTTCAAGAACCTGGCAACCTTTAAACTGCAGTCAACCTCTAGTATTAAAAGTAGTAGTTGTAGGGAAGGGAGGGGTATTAAATATGAGCAGACTTTTATTATCTTTCTCTTTCTTTGCCATTCAACTTTATTTGAAAAAATAATATATCTATCTCTTTTTCATCAATTTGTAAAAACTGTGGTCATTGGTCGTGTCACAATTTGCATGTCGAATGTAATGAGTTCAAACATAAATATGAAAAAATTAGATTAATACAACTCCGATAAAAATAAAAATAAATTATTGAAATTATAAGTTAAATAAAATTACAGATTTTAATTAAAAAACTGTGATTAATTTCTTAGTGTAAAGTATTCCTACATAAAGCAGTTTTATTTTCTTATTTGTTGACAATTGACATTTTATAAAAATGTTTTGCTAAATACTGGAACAAAATATGTTCAATTGGATCGTAGTGTGCATATTTCCCGTTGTTTTGTCAATAACATGGTTTTTTCCAATTGTATGGAGCCTCTTATATATATTATTTTTAACTTTCTTCCTGGTAATAGCAGTTTTTGTGTTCACAATTTGGGGCCATGTATCATTATCATCACCACATCAAACTCCCCTATTTTTATTAGATAAACTTGAAAAAGATGTACGACAAATGAAAGAAACCCTTAAGGTAAGTGAAATTCTAATAATCAATGTATACACTTTCAAGTTATAAAATTTAATATAAAATATATATTTTGAAACAATAGGAAGACGAGTCAAATTGGCCTCATGCTACCAAGAAGGCCCATTTACCTGTTATATTTGGACGCACAGTAGATAGCCAACTGCATTTGTTGATTGATTATGTGCTGAGGGATTTTGTGGCCCGTTGGCTAAAGGAGTTCTCTCACAAACCAGAACCAGTGTTGGACAAGTTCAAGGAACATGTCTGGGGAGGTGTTCAGAACTTGTATGAGAGGCTGTTACGTGTTGATGCTGAAAAACTCATAGCAAATGATATGGTGACCAAAATCACTCAACATTTTGAAAGAATAAGGATTGCAAGGAGCTGTGCGTAAGTTATAACTAGTAACTATAATATACAAAAAAAGTTATAGTTATCTATTGATGTCCATCGAGTTGGGGGTTTGATATTTATCTTATTAATTAGTATTTATTTTATTTTAACAGTACCTATTAGGGCACAAAACAAATAAAATGGGTTAGGTTCAACTTATGTCAAAGAATTGCAATCTCAATATAGATATAGAAATCCCTCTCAATCAGTCCCTCCTTTTTTTGCTGATGAAGAGGGTTCCCTCCCCTTCCGTAGAGGGTAGCCCGATTTCCCACCATGGAGTCCCCCCTTGTGTTTTAAACTTATTATTAATTTTAATCCATAAAATGAGGAAAATATCCTCTGTATGAAAAATACTCAAGAAGGACAGTCTCTGTTAGTTTTCCTTTTAAGGGGGATAGTACCCCTCCCGCCTATCCCCCGGCCCCTCCCCCCTTCAATTCGACGGACGTCAATGGAAAGTCATACCAATTTTTTATTAAATTTACAAATATGAAATGAAGTTGGTAGGTACTTTCTATAGTTATTTATTTAATTATGACATCTATATCTATATCTATTATCTAGACAAATAAATAAAATTGGAGTGTCTGTTTGTAATATTAAAATAACCGCTTTTTACTAAATGCATATGTATGTTTACACGGTACATATGCCAAAATAACATTTTTTAAAATTTTTGTCTGTCTGTCTGTTTGTTCCGGGTAATCTCTGGAACGGCTGGACCGATTTCGACGGGACTTTCACTGGCAGATAGCTGATGACATAAGGAGTAACTTAGGCTACTTTTTTTAGCGGTTATAACAACAAACGCGGGTAACACCGCGGGTCTCAGCTAGTTAATTATAAAGTAATTTACTTAAATTGGATTAAAATATAATACTTAGGCTTACTAGTTTTTAAATGGAAATTAATTATAATTGCAAAATTAATAAATACATTTCTAATAAGTAATAGCTAAACTATAGAAAGTTAAAATTTTGTAGACTGGAATTGAACCAACCTCCAGTGTTTGCCCTGGCTCCCCATCTGACGTCTAGTGAAACAGAGTTGCACTATCTGAGACAGATAAGTGAACTGATTATCATGTTTCTAATGCCAAGGTGCTATTCTTTGTCTCCTGCATCTCACTTGATGAGAGAAATACTTTCTTGCAAAGGTATGCTATCTTATTTACTATGTGTAAATCTTTCATGCTCGTCATGCTTGTAATAATATAAAATATTTGAAGTATTCGAAAGATCTAAGTGTACAAGAAAAAAAGGCGACTTTATTTTATACTATGTATAGATAAAAGAATAATCAAGAGTTTAAGTTCAGTACTAAACTTTTAAATATTATCAGCATTCTATAGTAGTTTTTCTGACTCGCTAAAGTAAATGAGGAAGAAAACCCTACTACTATTGATTATTAAGATCTAAAAAAAGTCCCTTTTTTTTGTACACAGATCTTTCGAAATAGCAACGGATTTTAATGAGGTTTTCGATAATAGACTCTATAGCTTAAGAGATGGGTTTACATGCATATGATAGTAGAAGAAATACGAGAATTCCAAAGACATGTAATGTGAATTCATAAGAAACATATTTTTGTGCTCTTACATTGCAAACACTGGCTAAACCTTAGAGATAGATCAAAATAATGTATTATGTAATTGTATAACTTAAAAAGGTCTGCAATGGTAAATGTCTATCTCCTAAGGATAACAAAAAAAAAAGTCTCAGAAACATGTAGTTTTTGAACTTTTGAACGATTTTTACTGATGTAATAAATTTATTTTTCCTTAATAAATAATTAGTGACTAAAGCAACAAAATCCTTCATTCAATTGTTCATTTAATAACAATATGTGTACCGTAACATACGTAGTATTATTTTAGTGATGGTGAGTCATTTTTTATGTCATGGAGCGACGCCATTTGTTTGCTGATGAAATGCAGAAAGCTGTAGGAATGCTACAAGCGGGAAGAAATCATTCCCAGGTATCTCGGCATCCTGCTTTTCAGCACCCAGGACGTGGAATGAGTACAACTACTCGACAGGTCTGATTCATACAACTGACTGTAAGACATCAGCCGATGTTAACCGCCCGGGAGATAGATTTAAGGCTATATTTCACAAGCGGTGTTGTTGTTAGCCACCAAACCGTGAGAAATAGGCTGCATAGTGCTACGAGCACGACGCCCAATTAGGTACCCATCTATACGCCATGGGAATCGCGTCCGTCGAAACGAATGGTGTAGGGAACACTTCACATGGACCCAGGGGAATGGGGTAAAATTTTATTTTGCGATGAGTCCTGGTTTGGATTTAGGCTTGATACGAGAAGGGTAAGAGTATCGTCGTTTTCGAAATGCTGACCGGTTGAGATGCGTCCAGGAAGTGCACCCTTACAGTCGCACCACAGTGATGGTATGGACGGGTATTATGAAGAACAGACGAACTAAACTCGTTTTTGTGGATGGCAATATAACCGCTAAAAGTTACGTTAAAGATGCCCTCGGGCCCTTTGTTCACCCATTTGCACGAAGTCTTGCGTTGCTCACCAGAGGCGGTCACGTTTTGTATTGAATTGCCAAATAACTAAATAAATGTCGTTATTTAATTTTATAAAACATGAAATGTTTAATTTCGTTTAACTTTATTTTAAACCACGTATGTTACGGTATACATATTGATAATTATTGTGAGTAAATTAACAATTGCTTTAGTGACTAATGCATCAAAGAATGCTTAGTTATTATTTATAAAATAAAAATAAATATTTTACATTAGTAAAAATCGTTCAAAAGTTCAAAGAAAGTTCAAAGTGCTTAGAGTTTTTGATTATGTGTATTTTGATTAATACGGTATTATTTAATAAAAATGTTAGATACGTTGTGCATTTAACGTAGATTAAAATTAGTAATCGCTAGTTAATTTATAATTTAGTAATTCATCTACAAGTTTCCCACCCTCAGAGGTGGATTAAGTATTTTCTTCTAAGGAACTGACATCGAGTGTAAACAAATCATTTTAAAAAGAATGAACAATACAGTGTTCAAATTAAGACCTCCTTTTTGTAATATGTTTTAAAGTGTATAAATTTTAGCTACTGTGCATATCTTTGTGTCTGTAAATCCTATACATATTACGTATACTTAAAAAGTTGTAACAGCTTATGAAAAAAATACAGATAAAAGAATCAGTACATAAAAATCTACTGCCAATACTGTTCTGCGACAGACAGGTTTACATTCTGAATAAGTAATTTGTGTAAAACCTTTACCTATTAGCTTAACAAGATTCAAAGATTTCGGTAACAACTCCTCCTCCTCGCTTCGGTTGCCTCGACTGAGGGTCGTGACCGCCTTCTCGTAGCAAGTTTGCTGTGGATCACTCGATGCCACCTGTCCTTATCCTCAGCCGAGTGTAGAGCATCGTGGACTATTGTGTCGAGAGTAGTGCGGATCTGGTCAGTCCAACGTGTCACTTTACTCGTGACCATTAACTTCTCCAAGTTGCTGTCATCCTTTCTGGCAATGTGGTCGAAGTATTCCAGAACTCTACGCAGGCAGATGGTAGAAAGCCTTGTCTGTATCTTGAGTTCTTGCAGGATTCAAACGTTAGTGGTATGTGCAGTCCAGGGGATCTTCGTATCTCGTTTTTGCACGAGCCATTACTGCAATCGTATCGAGCTCGTGTAGCGATTGTCCCTCTGAGTCTTCGATGACCCATGAGTGTGTGAGTGTGTGTGTGAGTGTTTATGTTAATGTATCGCTTTCAGACACAAGGAATACAGGTAACTATCAACACGTGGTCGAAACCACAATCGGCACCGGGAAAAGTCTTCATATTTGTTATGGACGATTTCCAGCGGGTGTTAATCATTATATAATCAATTTGATTTTTGTGTAGTAGTGTAGAGGCGACAAAAGTGGTGCTGAAAGTATTAGTATTCATAATGCTTAGCTTCCTACCAACACAAAACTCAATGAATTTTTGACCGCGCTCGTTTTTAGTGCCCAGACCATATTTACCGATTGTGACTTTGATGGTATAGTCTGGTATTACATTGCCAACTTTTGCATTCCAGTCGCCGAGTATGATTGTGATTTGACGGCTTGGTATGGCATCATGGTCTTCTCAAGGTTCCAATAGAATTCGTTGATATACTCATCTGAAGCTTGAGCTGTAGGGGCGTAGATTTGCACAATGTTCAAAAGGCATGGTTTTGTGTTCAACTTTGACTTCCACGACGATGGGTTTCGCTAACGCCCCGTATGAAGTTGTATAATTTTCTCTTTCTTTGTCAACAATGCTCAATTTTCCCGGATGAAGTATTCCGTTCGTGTTCCAGGTACCAATACGATGATGTGCCCGTATTGAGATTTAATTTCTTACATGTTTGGTTCCACCACGGTCACAATTACTCACCAAGTTAATGAACCCATTAAACGAGTATAAATATTTTATACAAGTAAAGAATAATCGAAATGCCATTGTCAGACAAATTAACGTGTTGGTATTAAATTAACTCTAAATTTATGACAATTGTAATAGACCCGAAGTAGACCCGTTGCAGACTAAAATCTATTTATAACTTTTTTGTAGCATCTTGTGTTGATGATTAATGTATTAATAATGTCTTCTATTCTAGTTCTCCAGCCAGCAATAGATCTGGTCACAGAACCAGACTATATAAATCAGAAAATAATACAGTATTTGGAAGCTCAAAAGGAAGTGGATGCTATGCACGTAAGGACTCATGAGTACGCAAAAACATTTGAGGATTATATACGGTTGATCAACAGCTGTAATAATGTCGACACTCTGAAACGGTTACGGTGGGTGAACATTGATAACGATGTTTATTACTTTCACAGAATAACGGTATTAGCAGTTTTGTGTCAAGGATAGCGTCCGGCTTCGATAAAACAGTACCTAATGATTATACATATTATTGTTTATAAATGCTTTATAAACAAAAATATGTATAATATCGCATGCTTATGTTCCTCATATGCGAAATTATTTGCATACCTCTATTGCAGCCTGACAAAATTATAAGTTAGTACTGTTCAGGCAAGTCTATATCCATATGCGGCAATGAATCATAACATAATACTGGGTGCATTTCAGTAGAGACAAATCAATTGTAGAGGAATATTTACTATATTTATTAAATTATATTTACAGATTCAAAGTTTATGTTGTAGTCAACGTTGCTTTTATGCCATTCCTCTTAACTTCTTCGAGATTATTCTAAAAAGATTCAGTTACCTATCTTATCTTTTTGATCGGCACCTATGATCTGGTCGATTTCTCTATATTAGGATGGCCTGTAAAGCGTCCTGACACACGGACGGGTTCACGTGACCATGAAGACGTTGTCTCACATGTGCTTGCTAAGAGTAGAGCATGGTTCTTCCCCCGGCACCTCTAAAAGGTCAAAAATTCTACGAGGGCTGCTATTTATGTATCCGGAACTGAAGAATACAATTTGTTTGATGTAGCTGTCATTTGCATTTGTTCAAAATGCACGTTTTGGAGATACCACAATCAGAATGGAAAAAGTGCTACGAAACTTGGTTCCAACGTATGCAAAAGCACATCGATCATCACGGCGAATATTTTGAAAAGCAATAAAACTATAATAAATGCTATATGTTTGTACAACTTTGTTATTCCGGATACATAAATAACAACCCTCGTACTGTCGGCCGTTCCCATATGGCTTGACTTAGTGCAACCACTTCGTATTAGAGGAAACAACGATGTTGCTACACTATCGTATAGAATATAAGGTATATGAGATATTTTCAAAAAAGACTGTTAGTATTTATTACCGATTCAGGTTAAGGCGCAATTATGACTTTAATTAAGTCATCGCTTGTGGCGCTCACTGTCTATAAAAAAAAAACAAAAGAACATTCAACTTCTTCATTATTCTTCTAGATATGACATAGTCACCCAAATTATGCAAGCAACTACCCTTCAGAACGTAAAACGAGCAAAAGGCGTGGACATTGAAGTAATAGAAAAAAGTGGCGCACAGAATATCAGCCGTCAACAAATAGCCGATGCTAAAAAACTCAAGCGATACATAAATCAACTGACTATCGCCAAAGCAGAATGTGAAACTGCGCTTAGGAAACTGGGATGGGATGGAGCTTTTCCTACAGTGGAATCTGATAGTAAGGTAATGCAGGTTTTAAAGTATTTTCTAGAAGATATTTTATCTTATTCTTAATTTTTCAGTTCACTATTCCCAATAGTTCAGTTTTAAGCTTAATAAAGTATTTCGTATTACCAGCAATAAAAAGTTGATTAAATTATTTCAATAGTTACATGTTATTTTTATTATCAGCTGTAAATAATGAAGTAATGACCTCTTAACATCAAAAGAGATACATTTTTGTACCGAAACAATATAAAAAACATCAGAAACGGCGTAATGCTATTCAAGTATGAATGAGTAGTTTATTGTTGATGAAATACTCGTCTTGAATTGTTTGTAGCGCTCGGATATATGTATTCGTAATATGTGCGTATTAATATTACATCTGCATGAGTCTATATATTGATATAAGGTCCCTTATCTACTAACTTATTCAGTTTTGAAAGCCACTTTTATTAATGCGACAGCTAAATCCGAACAAAATATTATGAAAACTTACATATTATAAAATAAACTATAATTAATATAACCGAACAATGTATATTTTAACGTTGTGATTCAACACATAAGTAGTACTTTAAGTAGTCAACTACAAAAAAAAAACTAAAAAAAACTTTTCTCTAGAGAAACTAATTGCAGGCAAATCAATTTGGATTGAAAATTTTGTACGCCGTTACTATTACTCTTGGCCACGTCTTCGCTCACATATATTTTCCATCCTCGGGAAGTAGATGCCTTATGTCGTTTCTATATTCCTGGCATTGTTTATGAAATCGATCGACGGTACCGTTCATTAGATCATTTGCATAAACGTACAACACGTATTGCACAACGCATAAAATACGAAACAAGCATTGATTTTCATGTATTAGGTATCTCTCCCTCTGTCTGTATCTCTCTTTATTAGTATTTTTTTCGGAAATCTATTTCAGACTATACCACTGCATAAAATAATGGAGAGCGTAACAGGGCGACGGTATCTATCAACGTTCTTGGAGACAATGTGCTCCCAGGGCCTGGTAGGCTTCTGGAGTGCAGTTGAAGAGTTGCGACACAGCCCTAGGAGCAGCTGGCATCAGCTTGGGGCAGAAATATTCTATACTTATATTAGGTCACCCAGTGCAGAGATTAAAGTTGATAAGGTTGGTGTATTTGGTTTGAACGTAGTGCCAGAAATTTTCTCGGTTGCGCTACCTATTGCGTTACGAATATGGTATATAGTATGGTGGTCAAAGAAATGTGCCGTTAAGCATTTTAAAATCTTTTTTCACTTTTTTTTGTTTCATTTACATTGCAAAGGCTTTTGGCCATTGCTTATATGGCTTGTGCTCCCTGAGATCAATCCTTTCTAGGAATGTACTCATTTCATTATAAAACAACCTCACTTTATATAACAACCTCATAAGGGAAGTATACCCGTGTCACAGAATTCTTTATGGAGATTTAGTTATCGCAGCTCAAGTAGAAAACGTATTGTTGCGCCACAGGATTCAATAGTTCGATTGTTCCAGAAATGTATGGAATGTGGAGGGCAGCGCCATCTAGTACCACTTAAAGTACAACTATTGATATTGTGATGAAAAATTCTGATAATTAAAGCGCTAGATGGGGCTGTTGCAAGTAACGCGTAACTGATACTAAAATATTCTTCTTTGTCTGGAACGGACTATCGTATACTGAGAACGATCCCTGTTCTAGTATATTCGATAACACTATAAGAGCGGAGCGTGTTGGCCGTACAAGATAGTATCGTTATACGACACAGCGAATTTAAATCGTAGCGAATTTCTAGTGCAACTAAAGAGTTACGTAGTGATTTCTTCTTTGTAATGGTGAGTGTTTGTAATAGTGCACAGGACAACAGCACTGTAAAAAGAAGGAAAACTTAAAACAACCCCTATACCAACCCGTCGTGCCAGCGTGGTATAGTAGGCCAAAACCTCCTATCTAAGGAGAGGCCTATGTCCAGCAGTGGACTATTATAGGCTGTTGATGATGATTAATAGTAATTAAGCGGCTACTTTTATTCATTGTATACCCCGCTCGTAACAATATCTACATGAGATTCGATAACTTTATGTCCATAAAGAATTATACTACATACTAGCTGACCCGGCAAACGTTGTGTTGCCATATTCATTATTTCTAGGAAATATTGAAAAAAAAAAATCGGGGTGGGTCACCCTTGTCATTTAGGGGTATGAAAAATAGATGTTGGCCGATTCTCAGACCTACCCGATGTGCACACAAAATTTCGTAAAAATCGGTTCAGCCGTTTCGGAGGATTATGGTAACTAACATTGTGACACGAGAATTTTATATATAAGATATACTATAATTTAGTATGTAAATATATGTATGTAAATCTAGTACCTATATATCTGTAGGTTTTTTTTTTTTTGTAACATTCTTCAATTTAGTCTCATCCTTACTTGTTGTTGTTTTAAAACCCAAAGGTTTCACTGGAAGAAAATGCCTATGTCATTACGCAATATGTTTGCAGGAAGTTTAAATGAATAAATAAATCCAATAGAAAATTTAAAAAATTTACAAGAATCTCACTTCAGCACACTGTACCATATGTGTAGTGTAATGATTTATCTTCAGTTTTCTTCCTTTTTTAATTAACTTCTAATCATTAAATTTAAGGATACAAGAAAAAGAATGGAGGGGTTTCTATTAGGGGACAACGGTCCAGACGTATTCTATGAAGTTCAAGACACGGTGGTGGACACGATACAAGAGAAATATTATCATTCTTTCCTCATGAGTGATCACTACAGAGCATTTAATGCTGAATTGGCAACAGAGGAGGCAAATAAAGGTTTGTAGACAAGTATTAAACAAATCGCTAAGGTGGCAGACTTTCTCACTTTTGTCATAAAGTTTTAAGTTAAAAAAACTTCACAAGACTAATGATTAATGTTCTATGTAACTGTAGCTGATTGTGTACAAAATACAGTAGTAGATTTCGAACTCTATCTTTTGTACATGACGGTTGATTTAAAAAAAAAGCATAAATAAAAGTCAAATGTATTGAACTTTTTAGATATGAGTTCGGAGAGATCACCAATAGAAGACCGCCAGTTATCAAACGAGTCGGTATCATCAGCTGAGAGTGTCGCTGGCACGTTACACCTCACTGAACATTCCACTTACGCTAGAAGAAAACTTGATGAGCTGCAAGAACGACATAATAATAAAATACAAGTAAGTGATTGGTTTCTATTTATAAACATGAACACTAAGAGTTGAGTTAAGATTGACTTTATAATACAGAGGACCAAGTGCGAATTTATTACATTTCTACTCGATCGTAACGGAGACCGCGATCGGCGCTACGATTGGCCCGCACTGAAATCTCCAGCAATCGCAACGCTAGACGCACTCGCTGACGAGTGCGAGTCGATGTGAAATAAATTCGCACTCGGTCCTCTGATGTAGGTATGTACTATACGAGTTAGTTGGCACCCTTGTTTTATTAGGTCTTAATCAGCTTTGCCAGGTTCTTTTTAAGGTCTTTATATAAACTATATTCAGAAGCTATAACTATATTTAGGCAGCCTAATAAAAAGTATTTTAAATACAAGTTTATAACAGAAGGACTTGAGACTTGATAAAAATGGAAAGGAAAAATCTTGGGATTGTGAGTCCTTACATCCTACTATTAAATATGCTTTAGAAGATAGAAAATTGTGTAGTTTTTCAGAGGTAATTTAATTTACAAATCGAGAAGCAGACAAAGGCTCATGTAATAATTTATTTGTACAGATCGTGGTGGGTAACCGGTTTTATAATGTTTCTTTTAAAACGTTGCTTCTTTTATGCGTATTAAATGTGAATATCGGAACTTAAATGATAATGTTTATGAGGTAAGAAAACTTTTTTCGGTTACGCGATGTCGATGGTGGTTACTAGTAGAATAATATAATATAACATATCAACATAAGTTTAAAACCAATGGAATTATTTTAAGGCGCTAGCGGCTCTACGTGCCTCTTTGAAACCGGAGTCCCCAGCATTATCGATGTTGGCGAACGAAGTAGAGAAGCTAGCTGGGGAGCAGATGCGCTTGGAGGCACACTTGGCCAGAACTGACACATGGGCAGAACATCTGGGCAGGTGGCGGGCCACCGTGCACAGTGCTGATGTAAGTGCAGAGTAATAAATTTTAATTATATGAAAATCTTGAAACCATGAGCTACTGTGGTCGAAAATTCGTTAATAATAAGATATTCAATAAGCAATGGATATACCGGCAAATATTTTTGACAAAATTATAATAAATATCTAATATGTTCGTACAGATAATAGACGAGTCAAAACCACCACAGTTTGTCATAGTTGTACATATGGCGGAGCAGGAATCTACGAGCAACGATGACAGGCCGGAACAAATCACTACAGGCTGGGTGCTACTAAGAACATTGAACGAATTTCAGGTAAGTGTCAAAATTGTATCACGCTCAGTGATCTTTGGTGGGTAACAACCTCTCCGATTAGCGCTCCATAAGCAAAGTTTTGCAATCAGAATTGTCGCTCAAAAAAGTTCTCATAAATAGAGATTGTGATACATCATGCCATTTATGTTAGAGTCGCCATTTAAGTATTTTCTGTAAGTGAGCCATATGTCTTTACTAGGTATTCCTGGCAAATTCACGAGCGTGGAAACGTAAAGCTGTCCTATGTAACAACAATACATTACCCAATACAAAAATTTAAATGTTAGTAGTTAGTTCAGTAAAAAGTTTAAATGAGGAAGAGCCTAATGAGCCGGCATTCATTCCGCTTTTCCTCCTTTTTAACTTTGTTATAATATAATTTTGATGGTCATTAAGTTCTCTTAACATAAGTATTTCTTAAGCTTCCTTAGACGGTGTATTTGCCGTTTTTTGCTTAAGTCCAACAGGTGAGATGGAGTAAGACCCACAAGAGAAGTAGTTATGTAGGGGATAACAGTTCAATATGAAATGTTTTGTTGTTAAAGCGTGCCTTTAATTTATAACGTAGTTACATACCACATTAAATTGAACTAATTATAGTGAAAATATTTCAGGATCTTCATCGAAAACTTCGGCCTATGTGTGCAGAGTTAAAAAATTTAGAACTACCGTCAAATTCTTTTAAGTTTTTATTTGGAAAGAACGACAAAAACAATCTCGAAAAGGCAAAAATTTTAATACAAAAATACTTAGAAGTGAGTAGCCATTTTGAATTATTTTGTTTATGTGCATTACAAATTGGTTCTATTTCATTTTAGTTGTGAGACACGACCTAGTCCGTCTGAATCAGGCATACCTACCCATTATATGAACTATGTATCCCAATTTGACTTTCTCGCTTACTCTTTCTACCCAGACATTCTAAATTCAAATCCAGTAAATAAACCGTAAACCGCCAGCTCTGTCCCTAATCATAGCAGCTTGATGAAACAAATTATCGCCTTCGACATTGCCGGAGCGATTAGAGCTTCAAACCTTCAAAACAGGAGCTTACTCCTACCAATATTAAATTCTGAATACTGCTTTAAATCCTTTAAACGATTTATTTTCAGTTTGTGTTAGAAGATGATAGACTAAACCAAAGTGAAGCTTTATACACATTTCTGAACCCAAGTTCGGAATATTTAAAACAGGGCGATTTACCAAAGAAAAATAAATTCTCATTTTCTACTTTATTTAAGAGGTAAGTCATAGAATTTCATTTTATCCTTCTTTGATGATTTTTTAATTCTTATTTTAGGAACATTATTGAAGTTTTAAAAACTTCAATAAAATAAATTAAAAACTTCAAACTTCAATCATGTAATTTATATGATTTAATTAAACGGTCTTCGACAGGGCACCCCTGTATTTTGTTTCGAGGGCTTTTTTATACGAACTGTTTCACATAAAGTTATCATCTCCTACTAGTAATGATGTTCGTTATGCTTGCAGCACAAGCAGTGAAGCAACAAGTAGGACGTCACAGGAGAAGGAGGCGTTCACTCACTTATCGGCCGATGAAGACGAAATGTCTTTATACTTAGATGGAAACGGCGGTGATGGTACTATTAAAAATATGACTAATTCCCTGCGCGGTAAGTATTGTTTTTGTGATGTACTTAAATGCTTTTTGTACTTAAAAATTTTGTTTAACAGATTTTAATGGAAATCAGTAGTGTCTGTCTCAACATCTTAATAATTGGGAAGTGGTTTGTGTGATAATTGATATGTTCTCCCATTATGCTGTCTCTTATTTTAACAATTGCTTATTTTGTTTGAAAGTGTGCATTTTTTTTATTTAACTGTAAGTTTGAGTAAACGTTCTTAACACTAACAACTTTTCTTTCATAGTACAATCTTTGCTTAGTTTGAAACTAGATGGCATTGTGTGTGAGAGAGTGTGTCCAAAATATTATCTACACTGGACAGCAAATAAACCGAGCCACCCGCTACCTAGGCACTCTAATTCGATTTTCTCAAAAACTAAAAAACCTACAATTAACAAAGTTGTACCTACAGACAGACTTTGTTGGACTTGAACTGCGTTGAGGTGGCGATTTCGCAGAACAGTAAGGTGGATATAACGATCATCTGCTGCTGATGTAGCCCTAGGTCTGCCCGTACCTGGACGGCGATCGAATGCTCCAGTCTCTAGGTATCGTCTGTAAACTCGTTGCACCGAAGATCTGCTGATTCGAAGCTTTCGAGCGACTTCACGTTGCGCAATGCCTGCTTGAAGTTAATGCTACAGCTTGAGCTGCTTCCTGAGGTGTTGTATCCATTATTAATCGAAAAAGTAGCAAAAACACACGCGTCTGAGCAAACGATGGACAAAAACTAAAGAAATGATAAGAAATATCCGACTACCCTCATTGTAGAGAAAAAGAACGCTAATTTCAAACTCTGGTGAAAACAGAGCAAATCGTTAGCATTGTGTTTGTTGCTTGATTACAATGTGAGTTGACGGTACTTTCGAATTAATTTTTAGTCATTTTAATCACCATGAAACGCACTTTCTGTAGGTATAACTTTGATAGTTGTAAGCTTTATACTTTTTGAGAAAATCGAATCAGAGTTCCTAGGTAGCGGGTGGCTCGGTTTATTTGCTGACCAGTGTATATTATCTAATCTTAGGCTAAATGAGTATTAATCTCATGATACATACATGTGCCTATATTCTATTTTAATTTAAATTTTAATTAAGTTTTTGTTTGATTGATCATCAGGAGCGGGCGCTATAGCTGAAGAGAGAGACAGTATAGCCGAGCCTCTTTACTCTTTGCTGAGCGAAGTATTTGACATGCGGGGCGTGTTTAGGTGGCTCAGGAAAACGTTGGTCACGTTTGTACAGATCACATATGGGAGGACTCTTAATAGGTATGATATAACTGTGTTACTAATTAAAGTGAATAAACACATACACATCTACATATACTCACGTCTTTATCCTTAAAAGTGTAGACAGAGCCGTTCTACCGATTATTATTTTAGTCATACTAATTAATACTAATGTAATAATATAATAACTTTTCTGTGCAGAGATATGTATAGTAGACTTGCAACGAATAGTATATTCGGCAGTATACCGAATACCGAATATTCGGCGAGGCCCCTGACCGAATAGCCGAATATTAGGCAAAAGTATTCGGCTGGATTTTAGCGCCAAAAACTTGTAAAGACGTGAATTAAATTATGTACCTGTTTTATGTACCAATGACTACTTAATAAATGATTATAAAATAAATGAGAACCTTACCCTTCTAAATTTTGATTACCACAATAATTCAAATACATAGAATCCTCCATTTTTCCAATTCAGAAGATGATTATGTACCTGTGTTATGCACCAATGACTACTTAAATGATTATAACAGAAATGAAAATATGAATATATACGTAATCAATCGATTTTAATTTTTCATTTTACCAATTATTTCTCAATGACAAAATATATTATTTAAGTATTCGGTATTCGGCCGAATAATATGTAGATATTCGGTATTCGGCCGAATATAATAAAAGCAGCCGAATAGGCCGAATACCGAATATTCGTTGCAAGTCTAATGTATAGGCGTATATTCATCAATCTAAAAATACCATCTATTTAAAAATACCATTAGAAAAGAAACGAATTACTATTCCAATTCCTGTATTAAAGTATTTCTAACACAATGAGCGAGGTTTCCCGAGAGACCCCTAGTAGTCAATAAATTAGTTCACACGGGAGTTTCAAAGAAGTACACGTAGATATAAACTTTACAACATACAATTTGTTTCTGTTGTTTAGTTCAGTAATTAAAAAAAACGAGCCAGCCTTACCAGTAGCCGCATATGATGTGACATCTCGTCTACATCTTACGGCCAAATTTAGCCCTGCGCGCTCTCATTCATCATCATCATCATCAACAGCCTTTAACAGTCCACTGCTGGACATAAGCCTCTCCTTAGAAAGGAGGTTTTGGCCTACTATGCCACGCTGGCCAGACGGGTTGGTATAGGGTTTGTGTCAAGTTTTCCTTCTCTCTGCAGAGCTGGTGTTCTGCGTAGTTTTTTCCCTCTGTCGGCTCTTACGACACCCATGGGATGAATAGGGGTGGTGACACTCTGTATTCTTAATCCGTCACCACACGGACATTGCGCGGACGGACGGTGCGCGCTCTCATTGGTCAATCAAATTTGATTTGACCAATCACAGGACCTGTCATTGTACATAATATGTACACATATTATGTGGCTCCCTGTTTTTAGTGAGTGAGTAGTAAAAGTGTGTGATTCTGTTCCTTTTATTGAAAATACTCTTACAAGTTGAAGGAAAGTGAGAGTTATGCACAATAATTTAGGAACAAGTGTTTTTATTCGTTCTTTTTTCTTCATGAAAATATGCATATAGTAAATATTTCTTATGACCTTTTCTCAGGCAAATTAAAGAAACAGTATCTTGGCTGTTCTCCGAACAAATGTTGCATTACTATATCAGCGTCGTTCTCAAATCCTGGTGGCCAGGTGGAGTGCTTTCAAATAATACTTCCAACAGGAATTTTCAAGATAAAGGTTAGTTTTGTTTTTAATATTAAGTTCTATTCGGTCAAAATGGATTTGACTATTCAAGTTAACGATTAAATAAAATATGCTAGTTGACATATATGTTTTGTTGACAGTTTTATCATATCACATAAAGTACACTGTGATATTCCATATTTCGTAAACTTAAAATTGTGACTTAGCCATGGTAATCATCAAAACTTAGTTAATAATAGAAAACTATATTTTTTCGATTCTCAATATTAAATGTACTTTAACTTTACCTTCTATAAGTTACCCAGACCTAAATAATTATAATAACCTCACACATCTCACGTTTGATCCCAAACTAGGCAGAGCCTGTACTGTGGTAATCAGACTTCTGATTGACAACTTAAATATCTCTAAATACGAACATATCATAGATAAATTACACCCAGGCAGAACAAATGATAGAGTGAGCTCACACAATTTTGAAAAATGCGACGTTTGATACTGTGAAAGGGAAATATATCAGTAAATGGATAATGCAACCATTGCTTGCGAGTAGTACTTTTCGTAGAGCTCCCAGAGTCTGTATTAATGAACGGATGGGCAACAGTCCCATCAATATTTGGATTTATCTCACGAGATTGTCGATGTGTGGAATGTCGATTCAGTGATCATTGTTCCGATAGTCGTATCTGCTCACGGATTGATAGCCAAGAGCCTCGACCGTTACCTTAAGAGGCTCACGTTAGAAGGCTGGATCAAGGGTCTGATGCAGAAGGCAGTTCTCATTGACACGCCCGCATAGTGAGGAGGTTCCTATTTTTAGAGTCCTAACTACCGGTGTCTTGGTCCCTGTATCCGAGGTCTACTGTTTTTATATTATTAAAAGATTTTTTTATAAAGTGTATGTTTAAAAATATAATTGATATGTATAAAAAATAAATAAGGAGAATAATAATAATATTTGATGAAGTATGAAAGCTAGATAATAGAACGGTATGATGTCAGAGCACACCCGCACGCTGGCGCTGCAGCAGCTGAGCGAGAGCGTGCTGCACGCGCTGTCGTCGCTCGTGGGCGCGCAGGCCGCGGCGAGGGGCGCGCACAAGCTGTTCCACACGCTGCAGAATACTACACACAACAAACAACTCTTCTATGTAAGTTTATATCCAAATACAAATAGGCAAAGAAAAATGAGCTTCAGTACCTTTTTACACCTTTTTTTTTTTTTTCCGTGCGGAAATCCCCTCGGATACCACCTGTCGGCACGTCGGACACGAACCAACTAAAACCGCACGCCGTCTCGGATACTAATAGCCGGGGAACCAGGTATACCCTAGAAAGGGAGTTCCTGGTGCCTCGACATACCTCGGGTCATCTACAGACGAGTAGACGACCCCCCCCCCCGTGTGGGAACCCCATGTTCCCTGTGCTCCCTGAAAGCGACCGCGCTTCCCAACGCGCTCGCCGCCACCCCGGCCTGCTTCTGCTAGGGTGACAGATGGCCTCACCTGTCACCCCCAGGCCTGCGCTTATGGAGGACGGAGGTCGTTCTGCGACCTCCGGCGCCTGAGTCGCCTGCGGTACCTGGCCCGTTCCTGGGCCTGGCGGGCCGGGAGAGTCCTAAACCTCTCCCGGTCCCGCTCCGCCGTCTCCTTCGCGAGCATAACTTGCTCGCAGAAGGAGATGGCAGAGTTCCACGCACTCTCGCTCCGCACGATAGCCGCAATCAGGCTATCGAGCGAGAGAACTCTTATCCGACCTTTTTACACCTAATCATCATAAATTCATTACTCAATATAATTTGGAGTCGGCGCAATATGTAAATTTGCAAAGTTTTTAGCTGTTTTTTTTGGCCGGCCGTCTGTTTAAGCCAATCCTGGTAAGGAATGTAATCGTTTTCGGGCAGAACGAAGGAAGAAGGTAAATTAATACGAATAAGGAGAGGGAGCAGATTTAACAAGTTACGGTTTCCTCTTAGAGATTGCCTCTGAGCGATAAGGCCGCCACTTGTACTTGTCTAACCTAGCTTAAGTTGATCATTGTATATTTATACCTGGTGTACAGTACAGCGATATTGTTATTAAAAAAATGTTCATGATAAGACTTTTGCTATCATTTATTAAAAAATTACAATATAACGTTATCGTTATCCTAATAACACAGTTGACACACACAGAAACAACAGAAAGGAAGTTAGTGGCCAACAGTTGGGCACTACTTTTCGACCCTTTCACAACTTTGACAGTTTTAGACATATCAGTGATCTAAGAGTTTATAGAAGTACTTTCTTGATGTATAACAACAATCTGAATTACTTAATTACAAAAACAGACGGATAAGACTATAAACTGTACTCTTTCTCATGTATAAAATTCGAACTCAACCTAGTTTTGTGGTGCCAATTTTTGAACCAATCTATTTTTATTTAAAATATTAAACAAAAACATAAAAACGACCACTGTGGCGCGCAAATAGTTCATTTGACTGCCACGGTACTTTTAGGTTCGATGCCCCATATTGGTGTAGGTGTTTCTATATATACTCGTAGTATAAACATATGTATTTACAAACAAATCTAAGTATAGTTATGGTAATAAGCTCATAGTCTGATTTTTAATTAGATATACTAAAGTGACAGCGCCATTCGACCGTTCTTTTTTTTTTGTTGACGGCGTGGAAAATTCCTTCGGATCTCCAGCTCCTCGAGGGCATAGAAGCCAGGAGTATGTGGTGTTTTCACTAAAAACCACATACGTAGACGACAGCCGGTCTCAGAGTCCCCACTCTCTAGCAGCCTGTGGCCACGTAGACGGCTGATATCGCCGCCGATGTCCTTTACGCTCTGTATCGGCCCTCTCCCGATCCCGTTCAGAGGTCTCTTTCTTCGATTTCTCTCTTTCGATTTAGTCTCTGTATCGATTTATACTATTAATAGGCAAGGGTTTTTACTAAAAGTTACAAATAAAGTTATTTTTATTAGTTAAATAAAATTAGTGAGGCTAGTAAAAAAAACCTTTTTAAAAAAAAAACTTGTTTATTTTTGTTTACTCTATATAAGCATATTTTGAATTTGTGCTATCCGATTCTGGTTTATCAATTTAAATGACAGTGCAGTTTTGTTTGGATTTAAGATATTGAAATACGCACGCATGTCTTAAGTATATATTCCGAAAATACCACTACAATTACAAACCAGGCTACTAATGCTACTGATCAATGCATATTCAAACTAATAAACTTTTTTCCTTTTTTTATGGAGTAGGGGGCAAACGAGCAAACGGGTCACCTGATGGATTAAACTTGATAATTCAGGATACAACGCTATTTTTACAGTATGATAACGCGACTACCCACCAAGTGTGATTTTATAGTCGATCTAATCTAAGAGTCTTTAGAGCCAATAGTACTAACCTACCTGGATACCACTCAGTAGGACAAAGCTGCCGGCAATCTAACTGGGTTTATCTTCTGCTTCCACACAAGAGCACAAAAGGCAATATACTCCAATACCAGTTACTATTCCACAAGAAATAAATCCAAACATATACACAGACATTGCTATAACCAATATAGCCACGCCTATAAATACAATGTACAACCTTGGACTGACTATAGATACCGAAATTCGCTCTGGAGTACTGCCCACGTACGAAATTGTCTGAAAATAAAAATATTATTTTTAGCCCGTAAAAAAATAATATTTAGGGTTCAATTTTCCTTTATTAGCAAATGGCTATATTTTCAGTATTACTGTAATTTCGTTATTTATCTCCAAAAAAGTACTTTGAATTTTTCTTGTTTCCTAATTTAAAACTCCTAAAATAGCAAAAATAGTCAAAGGAACAGAAGCAGAATAACAATATGTACTTACACTATATGAAATGTTCTCTGGGTTGTTAACATATAATATTCTTTCCCCAAGTAAATCTTCTGCAAAAGAAAATTATCAAAGTACCGATCACATACTTGTAAAAAACGTATTTCAGGCAAATAAAAATATTCTATCCTATTCTACTCGTACTCATAAAATAGTGTTCTTTGTAGCGAGTTTGATCTCAAAGGTTTAAAAAGTGTAATATTATATTACTACTAGCTGTACCCAGCCACGCTTCGCTGTGACACTTTGAAGTTGCAATGATGAGAAATGCAAAACAAAATTGACAAGAAAAAAAGCAAAAAACCATACTGAAACCGGTTTGTACATCGTGTCAAAATTTGAGCTCAATTGTTGCAGAACTTTTTAAGTTTTTGAAGCGTACTTTAACGTACGTTTACTTAGAAAATAAACCTATTTTTGGTTGTAATTTTTTTTATCGAGTTTGCCTCCCTTTTCTCATGTCCACATTCATTGCCTCATCTTCCCTATTTTTCAAAGAATCTCTTTCATCATGACAGGTATTAGGAACTAAGGATAGTAATTTGTTTAAATTAGTGATATTCATTGGTTTTTGTAACAATATTTATTTCACATTAAAAATTCTCGATAGATTTAATGGGAAAAAAATATTCACTTGATCCATTCTGGATCTTCGGAGATTGAACCTTAACAAGTCTGTATAGAAACTTTTTATTGAAAGAAAAAAATATCTACTAAAAGATGAGTTATTATTAGACTTGCAACGAATATTCGGTTACTATTCGGTATTCGGCCTATTCGGCTGCTTTTATTATATTCGGCCGAATACCGAATATCTACATATTATTCGGCCGAATACCGAATACTTAAATAATATATTTTGTCATTGAGAAATAATTGGTAAAATGAAAAATTAAAATCGATTGATTACGTATATATTCATATTTTCATTTCTGTTATAATCATTTAAGTAGTCATTGGTGCATAACACAGGTACATAATCATCTTCTGAATTGGAAAAATGGAGGATTCTATGTATTTGAATTATTGTGGTAATCAAAATTTAGAAGGGTAAGGTTCTCATTTCTTTTATAATCATTTATTAAGTAGTCATTGGTACATAAAACAGGTACATAATTTAATTCACGTCTGTACAAGTTTTTGGCGCTAAAATCCAGCCGAATACTTTTGCCTAATATTCGGCTATTCGGTCAGGGGCCTCGCCGAATATTCGGTATTCGGTATACTGCCGAATATACTATTCGTTGCAAGTCTAGTTATTATGCAATCACGGTAGTAATTTACACTGCTTGTTTCCCCCCTATATCATACAAAAAATACGTTTGTAATTGATTAATAATATTGATAACATTGTAATTGAGTTTCGTTTTATCCACACAGAGAAATTGTTAGGAATCGCTTATACTAAAGTATTTGTTGACGGAGGACAACTGATTTTATCGGGCGGATAGTGACAGTGGGCCCCCGCCCGAAGAGGTATGCGAGTGGATTGAAGCCGCTCGCCGAGCCACATTGTTTCTTTGGTCGTCCCGGCTGGAGGCTCCACGTGCTGGCTTTGCCGCTGTGAAGGCGCTCCAGCCTGTGATCATCGAGTGGGAAGGGCGGCAGCATGGGACCCTTTCCTTCCGACTGAGGCAGGTCCTTTCCCGGCACGGCTGCTTCGGGAAGTACCTGCACTCGGTCGCTAGGAGAGAATTGAGTCCCGCTTGTAACCACTGCAATTGCAGTGAGGACTCAGCTTAGCACACGCTGGCAATCTGCCCGGCTTGGGAATAATCTTTTGTTAATAATAATAAGTTAGTGAGCAGTCAGTATCACAATTAAGGAAAATTAAAAATTTAAAAAACCTCCACACACATCTTGGATTTGTAATTTGTCATAGTGTATAGTATTCTACTATTCAAGTACTTTCATTTGATACCCATATTGAGGAAGTTGTGAAAAAATATATAATCCACGATTTTGTGGCGGGGGCCATCTTTTACCGATTCTCATCAAACATAGCTAAGAACACTCACAAAAACAAAATCGGTTCCTCCGTTTGGGAGCTACGATGCCACAGAAATATAAACACACACACACACAGACACGTCAAACTTATAACACCCCGTCGTTTTTGCGTCGGGGGTTAAAAATAAGGACTTACCGCTACATCCAACTCCAATTTTATTTAGTTCGTCCAATTCCCCTTTTCTTATAGTAATAGTGTTGTAGTCCTCGCTATACCGATACATTTCCGCTGCTAATACTGTAGTGAAGTGCTCCTTAGTTTGTTTCTTGTTTGACATGAACCTCCTTTGTATTTCGTTCAGGAACAGAAATGTTCTGGATCGCTGACACAACTAAAATTATGTATTTTTATTTAGATCTGTAATCATATTCATTGCCAGTTTGGTAGGATAACCTAAGAATAGACCTACCATGGACCTATAAATGATATTGACACGTTGATGACTATAGACTGAATGACGAGTAATTAATAGCTTTTATTGAATAAAATCACTTTGCTCTAATCTAATGCATATTCAGGACATTTTTATTGAACTAATATTTGATTTTTTTCTGTTTAAAAGACAACTCTCACACTAGGAATATATCCTGTGTCGCGGGGGACTTTACATACATACCTACATGAAACGGACACAAAAACACTCAGACTTAGATTAATAATTTGTGGATCATACAAAGTGGTATCCCATGTGGGGATCGAACCCACTACACTCAGAGCAGTAAGAATCGGCGAGGTGACCCGCTTAAACCACGACGCCATCCGTGCAGTCGAATACCTACTGGAAAAATACCTATTGTAAAAAAAAAACGCTTCCGAATATTAACCTAATTAACGTTCCGTTTTTTACCTTGCCATAATGAAAAGTTTAAATATTTATGTAAAAATAGTGAGTGAAAATGTGCTGAACGCTTTTATGTACATACAATAAAGTTTGCCGCAAGTATGATTAAGTCGAAATTTTTATTGATATTTACTATGAACATTGAATTTACAAGGAATAAGTGCTTGTATAAACACAAGCACAAAAGAAGTACCCTTCAGTAACTTTTTACAATAATTTCAAACAGTGTATATTTATTATTATTTACTTAGGTTAAAGTTACTTTTTTCTTAAAAAATCTTCTCATTTCATCGTATTTTTCGTAAAGCCAGTAAATAGAGATGCAATAAAATAATAATAAACAGAGAATAGAAAATAACGATTTATAAAATATATGTTTACCTAACTTAGTTTCTTTTTGGTTTATTAGGCAACTTTAGATCTTTATCAGGCAACCGTAACGTGACACTTGACAAGATAATTACAAACGCTTGGCATCACGCTATGACAACATTATTCACACTAATTAATTCCATGCTTGTTTGGCATGCCAAGTTGCAGGATTTTTTATTAGAGTCAATTTTTAACTATTTATGTTTTTTTAAAGATTATTATCACAACTAATTATATCAAAAATGACTGTTTTTATTGATGGTTCTGAACATATAAACTATGATAATAGGAAAAAATAAAACTTAAAGGTTATGATTCCTACATACACTCGTTACAAGCTATGTGTCACTCATTCTTGACCACCTATACTACGCATGCCTTTTAAGTTCTGTCGTTTCCATATTTCCCGGCAATTTTGTATTTGGAACTGTTCTATATTCGAATGTGTTTAAATTTTGAATCTCAAAACAGATGAAAGTATTAGGATTAATGCTATTGTTTAGTCACAGTGTCGATTGGAATCTGTTAGGTTACTTACGAAAATAAATCTTTCTAAGGAAAATGTTCGTGCAATAATTTTCTACAACTTTAGAAGAGGCCTGACACGGCTTCAGTGTTTTGAAGAGTTAACATCTGTGTTCAGTGATGAAGCCCCATGTCTGCGGACTGTCGAACGCTGGTATTTAGAATTCCAGCGTGGACATACTAGTGTTAGTGACAAATCTCGCGAAGGACGCCCAAAATCCGCCTTCACTGAAGATAACATCATTGAGAGAGACAACTAATTTTCGAAGATCATCATGTGACGTATCGAGAGATAGAGGCTCTATTAGGCATCTCAGGGACAACCATTCAGAAGATCTTGCATGAAGCGCTTGGTGTGAGAAAGCTAGTTTGCCGTTGGATACCGCATCTGCTTTCTGACGATCACAAGGCGGCTCGCGTCAGATGGTGTAAGAAAACTCTGCAAAGGTTCAACCGAGGAGAAACAAATACGTCTACGACATCATCAGTGGTGACGAATCTTGGATCTATGCCTACGATCTGATTCCAAACAACAATCTTCAATCTGGGTCTTTCAAGACGAGCCAAAGCCGACTAAAGTTGTTCGTTCTCGAAGCACTTCAAAGAAGATGGTGGCCACGTTCGTTGAAAAAACCGGCCATGTGGCGACTATTGCACTTGACGATCGTAGAACAGTTAACGCAGAGTGGTATACCACAGTTTGTTTACCACAAGTCATCGCCGAACTTCGAAAATCTAACTCAAAGCGACGCATCATCCTGCACCACGACAACGCAAGCTCACACAGCGCTCGTTAAACGATTGAGTATTTGAAGCAGGAAAAAGTAGAAATTCTTGACCATCCTCCATACAGTCCTGACCTAAGCCCTAACGATTTCTTTACATTTCCTAAAATTAAGAAAAGTGTTCGTGGTCAAAAGTTCCAGTCCGGTGAAGAAGCAGTCGACGCTTTCAAGTCAGCCATTTTGAACACCCCACTTTAGAGTGGAATAAATGTTATAATAACTGGTTTGAGCGAATGGAAAAGTGTATTAAGTTACGTGGTGAATACTTTGAAAAACAATAAAAGTACTATAAGGTTCTAGTTGTGTTTTTTTCTTCAAACGACAAAACTTAAAAGGCATGCCTCGTACACTAAGAGCTCTGGTGAACTGAACTCTAAATTCAATATGTCTTGTGTAAACATCAGACCTATTGCAGGAAGAAAGCGCATATACGCGCTGTTGTCCCAAGGACATTAAAAAATTCTAAAACTTCATACTCCATACATACCTTATCTGTTATACAGAAGTAGAAGTAATTGTTTTCGATTATGTGGTGCAATAAGTAAGTTCCGTGTGAATAAGTCATTTTGTTGTTGCATTGTGGCAACTTGGCCAGCACTAGCTCTGCTATATCCATAAAGTTTCCATCGCAGGATGCAAAGTGTGATAGTATCGTCCGTTCACAAGCCACAGCACTAAATAGAATGGGCATATTCACTTTAAAAAAATAGAATTATTAAATAATGCCTTTTTTTAAACTCACACTTTTAGTCTTTTACACTATATTTTTCACGTTAGTATGACAGTGTGGGTAGTATTTTGCTTACAGTTGCTTTCACTTAATTTTGTTTCTTAATTACTTTTTAATCTTTTCTTATTATTTAACGTTGTCACTGCACGGATACAAACCGCAACTGATTAAAGTATCTAAAGTATCATCCCACTCAAATGTCTCCTCGTCACGTACGGAATATCGCGGAATCTAAAATTATTGGCCCGTCATTCGGTCGAAACGCGTTCCTCGCTAAAAATGTCACTACTTGTAGTTAATATATATGAAATGGTACGACAAGTGTGCGGAAACGTGTCTATTGGTAAGAGGAGCGTGTGCTTTTATGTGTTCAAGGTGTTTTTTCACCAGAAATTAGTAGATTGATGTTTTTGTTTCCAAATCATTATTTTCGGAAATGATTAGAATGTACACGAGAAGTAACAAACTAGCAAACCGTCTGCCAAAGGGTATGCGCTTACCGTTGCCACTCTTCTATACTATGTCCACTTTTGCCTAACATCCCCTTGGTACATATCTACAATACCTGATTAAGAAGATAATTGTTATTTGGAACTATGACTAGATGACCCAGACTATGTTTCAGGTTCATGTTGTAAGAAATGTACATTAAAACATTTTTGTTGTGGTAAAAATAATAAAGAATGAAAGAAAGAGTAATATTTATAATTAACAACAAAAAAGATGTAAATTCATACATTTTTGTTTAGGTACATAGGTTGTACCAATAAATAATATGCAATTTATAATGTGTTTTTTAATGTAAAGAAGAGCTCTATTGCGTCAATGTTATTTTTGCTACTTCGCCTAAGTTTCGTTAAGCCGCTATGATTTTCAATGTCACATTTGAAGATCGAGACTTTTTTTTATTGAAAAAATATAATTAGTATCACCCCACCATTACTAATATCCTGATTTGTATTAACGTTTTTAATCCTTTCTATATCATAGATTTATTTTGCAATGGAATAATTTCTAGATTCATATTTCTTTTAAATAAAAGGTAATTTCTTTTGAAACATGGAACAAAGTTGTTAATGTAATTGTCGAAATTACTAAACGAAATATATTGTCTAGCTCTCGAATCGCTCGAATCTCGAATTCGCAAATCGAATCAACTGATCGTTGGACTTTATCACTAACTTTTTGTAATATCTTGTTTATGTAATTTAAATGTATCTTTAAAATAATTTAATGTAATCTAACATTCAATTTGTAAGTCATGTGTGTGTTTATTTTTTTCCAGGAACTCTTCGAATTAGTACTTATGGAGGTATTTCCGGAGCTCAAACGCTATCACTGAATCTCTAGTTACGGTAATGACAATAGTTATGTACACTATGTAATTGTATTACAGGGATAATATCCAAAGGACACTACTTCGAATATATATAAGTGTATAAAAATAGTATATTCTTAAAGATAATAGATAATTCCTTTTTTTGTCTTCGCTATGTTTGTATACTTCAAAATGACTTCACATATCTTTTTTACATTTATATCGCTTTTTAAATCTACAGTATCTTAAACGTACGCTGGTCAATACTTCAACGTTTTGTAATGTGTGACATGTTTTCTCTCACTTTTTTGCAATATTTGTAAGTGTTTCTGGGAACAGAGACAGAAGTATGTACCAGGTAGATGGGGATTCGCGCGCTTTGATTCAGATTTGATTTACCCAACGAGCGCTTGCGGCGCCAGATGTCAGTTCCTAAATATCAAATGTGAATATTGTATGCTTCCCTCTTTTTTATAGTATAACATAGTTCTGTTACATAACAAATCAATTGCCTAATTTTTAAAACGAATAGCACAATCAGAGAGAAGTATACATCGATCACTTTCGTTGATCATATTGCATTCTTCTTGTTGAAGATTTGCATGCACAAAATTCACCTTTGCACAAAATTCATACATACACATATGTTGTAAGATTTAACTTAAAAGTGCTTCTGAGAGTTTTGTTGAAGAACTTGTGTGTGAGAGTGAATTAAGATATGAAGGTAATGCCTTATTTTGATGGTGTCATATTTTAAAAGCGTTCGATGTACATCTACGAGTGTAAAAGATCATTGGATCGAGAACTAAAAATATTTGTGTGTAGGTACGTATGAAATTGAATTTCTTAGTTTTTCGACCAGGTTGCACTAGCCGTTGTCTCGATAGAGGCACATATACATAATAATAAAGTTTAAAAGTTAGCATATAATATGCTTAATTATATTGTACCAAAATTGTTAAACTAGAAATTTGGCCATGCATAAGCTAATGTAAAACTTAATATTGATTTAATTATGTGCAAGTGTATTTTAAGTAGACCTTCTTAAATAGAAGCGGTATTGGTGTTTTTATGTAATGTTTTATAAAACAGCAGTATGCCACTGACTGTTAAAGTATTAATTAATATATAACCGTATTTAAATCTTAATTATAAATTTAGTTATAGTGTAACGATCTCATTTCATTCATAATATAACCCTTTCGAAGTAACTCTGTAAACTTTATTAAAATTATTAATTTTTGTATTAAAGTCATAATTGATGAAAACTCTTTTTTTTTGCAGATAAGAGAAATGAGATAGTTGGTTTTCTCTAGTCGTGGTGATTCATTCGTTCTAGTCTGCCTTTTAGGCGACTTCAATAGCCTATGAAAGCTCTTTTTTTGTGACAGTTATCTGACAGTTTTATATCTATAACTATAGAAATTCTATAATTTACAGTTTTTATGTAGTTCATATTAATTTATTATTATCTTTAGGTATTTACAGAAAACTAAATGTAATCTATGTATAAATATTTTTAAAGTATAAACATAAACAAATGTCGTGGAGCATTTGATATAGATATCTAAGCTTACTGCTTACCTAAAATGGTTATATTTTTGTATTTTTTGTAGTGTTTGTGCCAAAGATTGCACGTTAAATGCGTTATTAGTTGAGCCATTGTATGACTGTAAATGTTCAAATTTATTAATGTAACATTCCAGAGTGTCACTTAAGTATTGTACGTACCTGAATCTTTTGGTAAGCAGAATCTCAAATATGTTTAGTATAGCTAAAGTAATTCAGGAATTCGTCAAATACTTTTACTTGGTGTGAAACTATTATCGTGAAACAAATGATACATTACATATAATACGTTATTGCCATCATTTAACACTCATTATATTCTTATATTAGAATTGTAATATATAAATTTAAAATACTGAAAATTTTATGTTTATCTCCATTTATAGTTTAACAAATGTGAGAGGATTAAAATTAAACATAATTAAGTTTCAAGATCAAAAGTCTACGTACATTCTGTGCCATTAGTGTGAGCTAATCTTATTTTGTATAGCAATTAAATGTTTAAAGATGGAATTGCTAATATGTTTTTTTGAATTAAAATATGCTATTATTTTTAATACATGCCTATTGGTTATAAGTATTCATTTATTTTAAACAAAGCGAGGCAAGGCTTACGCAGATTTAACACTTAAAAAGGTTGCTTAAACTAACTTACGTAAACGTATAACTTCTAGGTATATCATTTGGCTCTAAACATATTGTCTTGTTTAGTGACACCCTATTACTGAAGAAGACATTTTATTCCAAAGGTATTGTCGTTATCTATAAAATATTATATTAATACGCGAAGAGAATTCTTTATACGCATTCTTAAGAAAGTTTTGTCAACGAAGTAGTGTGAAAATGTACATACGGTGCTTAAAGTTTAGACTTAAAAGAGCAGACGTATACAATTTTCGAACAATATATAATGTAGTAACGTCATGTACTAAATTTTCATTTCATAGCATTTGTTTAAAAAGATAGCGACGAAATTCTGGCATTAGCAAAGAGTTACTTAAATTGAAAATGGTTTACATTAATAACATACTACTGTTCATGTTAATCCTTCAAACTAAGCTTAAATGCTTGTGTTAGCCTTGGCTTTATATACGATATTTATTATCAAATAAGCAAATTTTGTCGACTTAACCAAACTCCCTTCCAGTATTAATATTACTTAGCATTTATTATAGCAAAATAGACTTCTAAGGGGAAATTGAGACGTAAAGTGTGAGGTTCCTCGGGACTGATTATTTTTATTGAACAATTCCTTTTTGCAGTGTTTATAAATATTTTCATAAAATAAAGCTGGTCTAACGTAACTATACTACTTGACTGTACTTTTATATGATAGATTAAAAAAAAAAATTGACTATGAAATCTAATTAATTAGGTATTACAAGTAAAATAAGGTTTATGAACATACAGTTTGATATTGTTGCCATTATATGTTTCAGTTACGAATAACTTTGCGATAGAAATATAAGCAAAATATATTGTTTGTATAACATAATTGTATAATGTGGATCAAAATTAATCGAAGAATAATAAAATGTATATACTTGTTAATAAATGTTAATTACAGCAGAAAATAAAATGGCGTGTTTTCGTTTAAAAAATATATATTTTAAAATACAGGAAATATTCTGTAGTTGCTTCTTAAATAAAAAATGATTATCTAAGGTTTTTTAACGAAACTACATGACTAAGCAAAGTACGATTAACTATGTAAAACTATCTATTTTAATAACTTTTTATAAAAGAAAAGTTTTTCTAACGTTACTCTTTGATATTTATCTAGCCAATTCATTAATGTGATCTTGCATTTTGCCGTTGGGTGATGTGTCGGAAAAGCAGTTAATCTACATAGTAACTTATGAAGCCATCTGTATCTATTAAGTGTTATGTTTATGTTGTTGACTAAGTGTAAACGACAAGTATTGTATATAAATGTATGGTTACTTGAAATAAAATAGTATATGTATTTTGTAACATCGTTTCATTGATTCTATGACAAAAACTAAGTAAAATCTTGCTTACTTACCTGATCATTTGTACTGATACAACTATATTATGATGGAAAAATTATGAC